CTCCCGCCATATGAATCATGTATTTCAGACATACGTGGTTTATATACAAGCAAATCATACAACGTCATACCATAAAATGGATAATAACGATTATTCAGGATCAAGCCCAAAAGTGGCTGTGATTGTGAGAGGCTGTTACTAATAAATTGGGAACAACTTGAAAATAACAAATCGTATAATAATAATCAATAATTAGAAAAAGGCTTATAACGAAAGGAATATAAATACTCATGATCCATTGGGGGTAACAGGCGTGAGTAAAAGTAAAGTGTGATCTAGTTACTCGACAATTATCCAATGGGAATCTATGTGATAATAGTTCACAAATAATTTCTAGTAGATACCGTTCATTTATTCTTCGTTAGGATATGACACTAAGATAAGTTTTAACATTACGAAGACGCTTTAACCACAATTCATGACAGGTGATATGAGTTTTATCCACTAGTCACCATCCGTAGCATTACTAACATTTATAATACGCGAATGCCAAGTCCGGCCTAGGCGTGATCTCTTCCAGGTCACAGCCTATACGTGTTGTCATTATGAACAGGTCACAACAATTGTGAACTCACATTTATTCGTAAACCTATTGATTAGCCTTTGATGTATCTGTACGAATGTTCTGCCGTTTATTTCTGATTTTATCTATTTACAAACGTTGTTTTGGCAGTATCTTATCTGCAATAGTGATCCCAGTTTATAGGATAATTTATATAATCCTCGGAGTTATAGTTAAGTAATCCAAACGAGTATATTGTCAAGATATTGTGCTATATCTTAGAAGTATCTGTACTTTCAAATGATGAACAAACAGTAGAGGTAAGTTCATTTCTCCAATCGGATTACAAGATATTATAATCATAAAAACAACGGAACATTTCTGATTGAAATGATTCTTTTTCTAACATTTCAGAACGGCACTATAACTTTTCGTACACTTGAAGATGCCACAAGTATTCAGAGTTTGACAACGCTTTAACCAGTAACACCTTCTAATATGAAGCGTACCCACCAAGTAAAATCAAAAGACAGAAGCAAGGAGATCGAAGATATATTTGATAAGCTATCAATATATCGAGGATCGTTTGAACTAATCTGGCTAGAGATTGTGACAGATGTTGAGCACGGCGTTCCCACACTTGATCTGGTGCGGGTGCTTGACCGAGCGTTTTCAGCTAGATGAGTCCATTAAAACTGTGGTCAGCATCCAACGTCGAAAACTTACAGAGCTATTTATTTTGGGGATTTATTTACCGCTACAGATCACTCGCCCCCTAGTTGGGTAGTGATGACCCTAAGACGTGGCCAGCCAGAAGTTTAAACCCAACGAGTTTTTCGTTGGTAAACACTCTTCTGATAGCTTGCTAGGTCTAGCAGCGTCTGGTCGTCTCCCCTTACTATAAGGGACCATGATGTACAATATAGTAAAAAAAGAAAAGGTGCAATGAAGATTTCTGTTTCTCGCAGACTTCATCGTTCTTTTATCGACTTTTCCAGCCGTCCTGGAAAAAAATATGTAAGTGCATGTCGAAATACACTCATACGCGCGTGAAAACACAAAGCGAGTGAAAAAAGGAAAATAAACTCATGCTCACGTAATAGCGTAAAAAGAAGGATTTTTATAATATCGTTTTTCGTTTTCTTTTTTGAAATAAAAAATAAAAATATATAAGCATATTAAATTCCGTTTTTTTTAAAAAAAATTATATATGGTACAAGGGAAAATCGAGACGATATAAAATGTAAACTTGTATCTTCCGTGCAGTAATCGTTCAAATGTTCTGGAAATCTTACTCTTCTTCCAGAACGTGTTGTTTTGAGTTTACTTTCAAATACCGCCGAAGTATCAACGTGTGTGTTGGCTGTCAATTGAGGTATTATAAGGGCAGAAATTGTTTCGTGCGATTGTATTGAAGGAAAATCGACGTGAATAGGATTTCCTTCTAAATACGCTGCTTTGAGGCGATCGATGCTGATGCTATCGTTGGTTCCGTTCTTATCGATTATATAGTACTTAGATTCGCGTTGAAGAACTTTGAAAGGTCCTTCATATGTTGGTTCGAGAGGTCGTCGATGCGAGTCTCGACGTACGAAGACGTGTGTACTATGTCGTAAGTCAGGTTGAACGAAAACATTAGTTGATTGTGGTCGAGTGAAAACAGGTTTAACTGAACGCATTGCGTTTGTAAGCCTGTTCGCGTAGGAGGTTGGATCCATGTTCATCGAAGAGGATGAAGGATCCACGAATTCTCCCGGAAGTCGAAGGGTCGTACCATAAACGAGTTGAGACGCAGGGTATCCAATGTCAGCTTTCACTGCATTGCGTATGCCTAGTAAGACGAGTGGAAGAGCGTCAGTCCACTGAGAAATGTTTGAGGCTGGTAGTGACGCTTTTAGTTGTCGGTGAAAACGTTCTACTAACCCGTTTGCTTGTGGGTGGTAGGCCGTCGTTCGGAAGCGAGTGATTCCTGATTTCGCGGTCAGACAACGGAAAAGTTCAGATTCAAACTGACGTCCACGATCTGTAGTGATTGTTGTTAGGCAGCCGAAGTTTACTACCTATCTTTCGACGAAGGCGCCGGCCACTGTTTCAGCAGTAGTGTCTTTGATGGGAACTGCTTCTGGCCATCAAGTAAAACGGTTTACGCAGGTTAAGAGATAAGAATATCCCTTTGAATCTGGTAAAGGTCCTACCAAATACAAATGAACATGGTCGAAGCGAGCATCGGGAGTTTTAAACGAGCCTAGTGGACATTTGTTATGTCTAATCACCTTAGATTTCTGGCAGCTTACACAGGAGCGTGCCCACTCCCTCACGTCTTTATTCATACTAGGCCAGCAAAACCGTTCTGCTATAAGCTTGATGGTCGCACGAACACCTGGATGAGAAAGTTTGTGCAACGTATCGAAGACGTTGCGTCGATATTGTTTCGTCACGATTGAACGATCCCTACCTATAGATGTGTCACAAAGTAAGGTTTCGTCCCCTGTTCCCATCTATTTAATTCGCAGTTTAAGTGTTGTTGAGGACAACTCGTGCTGAAGATCACTGTCTTCTTTTTGAAGTTGGGCGAATTTAAAAGGTCGATTCCTTGGAAACTGTTCAAGGAATTTATCCGAGACAAGGCGTCTGCAACTATATTGTTCGCTCCAGAAATGTGTCGAATATCTGAAGTAAACTGCGAAATGTAGTCCAGTTGTCGAGACTCACGTGGTGAGTACTTGTCTGAAGATGAGCTTAAGGAGAAAGTAAGTGGTTTATGATCGGTAAAAATGGTGAATTCACGGCCTTTCAACGAAGTTGGTCGGTAAGAAGTTTCATAAGGGACGCGCATTTCGGTATGAACCGTCTATAGAAACTTACCAGACCGTTAAACGTGCGCAATTCCTTGATGGCGGTCGGTTCCGGGTAATCCAGAATGGCCGCCACTTTTGTTCTAAGGGGTCGGATACCTTGCGCATCGATAGTGTGTCCTAAGAAGTCTAAGGAGTCGGTTCCGATTTGGCATTTCTGAATGTTTACAGTAATGCCATGTTTTTGTGGTCGGTCAAAAACAAGGTCCACATGCTGGAGATGCGATTCTCTATCCGGACTTGCTATTAGGCAGTCATCAACATACGCATGTACGAAGTTGAGACCTCGAAATACGTCATCTATGAACCTTTGAAAAGTCAGTGCCGCGTTTCTTAGACCGAAAGGCATTCGCGAAAATTCATAGAGTCCGAAGGGCGTTATAATAGCGGTTTTCGGAATGTCGTCAGTGGCCATAGGAATTTGGTTATACGCTTTAACCAAGTCGATTTTCGAAAAGACAGTTGTACCCTTCAAGGTGGCTGTCAAATCGTGAATGTGAGGCAACGGGTAACGATCGGGAATGGTTTTTGCATCCAATCGCCGATAATCACCAGTTGGACGCCAATCGTTGCTGTCCTTTTTAGGGACCATGTGCGACGGAAATGCCCATGGGCTATTTGACGGTCGTATGATTCCTAAGTCTATCATATGTTCGAATTCGTTTTTCGCCAATCTTAACTTCTCGGGGGCCAGTCGGCGTGCTTTAGAGAATACAGGTGGTCCTGTAGTCGTGATGTGATGTGTAACGTTGCTGGTTACACACGACAATTTCGATTGCGATTGGTAAATGCCAGAATACTTATCGAGTATTGGTTGATAGAAGGGGTTTAAATAGTACTATTTAAACTTGGATTAATTTTAATTTGGTTATTTATTCTCTGAAGAAGTGACTTACACTAATCCACGAAACGTCAGAAAATCTAATTTTCTACCCATTGGGATATTACAAATATATTATTTATTTATAACAATCAAACGAATGCTCAATTTATTCGAGATTAGGTGGACAGAATCGGGAAGGTTACTAAAGCATGGTAAAGCCTGGTAACTGACATAAAAAAACTCTTAAAATAAATGGTTTTTGTGCTAGTTTCAGAATGACATTGTTAACTATATCTTAAAAACACTTTAATTGCTGTAATGAATCGTCTTTTTTATTAGGGTAGACCACCATTTTACACACTGGAAGGCCCTTACACGTAGACATTTCTGATACCAACGTAGCAAGCCGTCCACAGGTAAAAGTAGTGACTGTTAGATCGTCTGAGTTTTTCAACAATGGAGATGAAAGTTTTCTGATTTTCTCAGAATAGTATAGTCAGTAGTGTGACAATTGTGATAATACACATTGAAATATAAAGGATATTCCACCCATCTAAACTAAGGAACTCAATAAATATTGTCCATGAAGATTCAGCTCTCGTGGTGCAGGAAGACTGAAAATTATTCCATTTACGGTTTGTTTACTGTCTAGATGTAATGGAGTCCCAAATCAAAGACAGGAACATTAGTGAAAGGCACCACTGATATCATGCACTATGGGATTCTTATCCACTTATGGTGTTTTCTCAGATCTACGAAGCAATAAAATATGCACATATTACATATATATTTTTCTACGAAGGATGTTGAAAGTGAAGCGGTCAATTTGATTCTGTTTGTCTATACTCGACGTTCCCGCTCTACTAGGTCTAGTGTCCGTTGGCATCCATGAGTACTTTTTCAGGTGAAAGGTTAGTCATTGTCTCTTAAAGATAAAAACACAGAAGTCAAGACGACCAAAGTTCTACGAGGCATCGTTCACCTATCAAAAGAAGATCAAGAAGTCGTTCTCCTCAACCGAGTCGAGTGAGATCAAAACGCATAGTCATTGCAAACATTCCATATGATTTAAATTGGCAAAAGCTGAAGGAGTTGTTTAGGGAACAAAGTAAGCTGGGATATTTTGATGTTACAAAGTAGTCGGGTTTACTGGCTTTCTACAGTTGTTTAAGAAAAATGGAAAGCCAAACGGTATGGGGTAAGGAGTCATATATTGTCGTATTAACTTTTATTACTGTAAAGTTTGATGGAGTTCAAGACACTCGAAGGAGCACAAAAAGCTATTGAAATGATGCATCGGTTTGAAGTTGGGGACAGAAAGTTGGTTGTTCGACAAGAGACTGCTCGTGATGCTGCTCGCTTTGCATCGATGGAAGTTGACGGAGGGCTTCTAAGTGATTCTGCAAATCCCAACGAGTCTGTAAATATGGCAGCGACAGGGCCTGTTTTCACTCCTCAAATCTTAGGTCAGGTCGGCATAGACGGGCCAATCACGGATTCTGTGTACGTCAGTAATGTAAGTCGTGTCTCAAATTTATGTCATTACTTTTAGCTTGACTATAGTGTAACGTGGCAGAAGCTTAAAGATGTCTTCAAATCAGCTGGGAAAATTCTCAGCTCGGTTATAAAAACAGACTCAGAAGGGAATTCTCGTGGTGTTGGCATATTAAAATTTTCGAATGCTTATGAAGCAGTCCAAGCCGTCAACATGTTTAACAACCAGGTATGTATTTGTGTTTAGTGAGTTAGTTTTTAAAATTAAATAAGTATCCGTAACCTTGTATCGGAGAGAATGCGTGACGGGTATAGAAAGTTCCAAGTTTTCAAGTTGATTCGAATATTTGGAAATGGTCTATAGAAATACCATATACCTCAACTCCAACATATAGATAAAAGACTTTTCGTATCTTCTGGTTGACTTATAAGGATGGAAAATCTCGAAGGCTTCTTACATGGACCGAAGCCAATGATGAATGTGCAATTTCGGACCACGTCTTTCATATTGGGTCAAAATAATGTCATGTTTAGTATTGGTGAATCATTGATATTTGGCCGCACTATCCCTGTCGATTAACGTGAGGTCTTGGTTGATGCAGTACACCAATCCATAGATGATGCTTCGCATCTGTTAGTCTTCCATTAACATGTTTTGAAGTGTGACAGTGTATACCGCCTTCTGGTTTTTTTCGATAACACTATCTCATCAAACATTTCTTTATCGCATTGTTGATAAAATGCTTCTGGAAGTTTGGCTGTACGATTTTTTCTTCTCATTCGTAATCCCTGACACTTATACTATTTTCACATTTGATGCTTCGTGGTTTATAAAGAGATTAAATTCATACTACTTTTTGCGCCAGATATTAAAAGACAGACCAATGCGTGTAAAGATTGATCGCCAGGGTACTCCTGCTTCAATGAACATAGTTTATCCTCCACCACAAAGAACTGGCTCGTCTGGAATTCTGGGTTCCACTGGTTCAATGATCCCCTCCAATCCTATCCTGACTGACCAACAACAATCTTCAAATATTATTGCTGCTCTTGTGACTTTACTTGGTTTGAAAACAAATGCCGATACAAATCCTCAGAGTGGTATAATTGAAGTTCTTCGTAATTTGGCGTCAAATGCAAATGTTTCTGGGGGTCTGAATACGTTGGCAACTACTGGATCATCTAATAACCCTTCCAACTTTACTGGTCAGTCATTGTCATCAATCTCAGATGCTTCACCAAGTATGAATCTTGTAAACTACATTTATGTTTCGTGCTATTTCTAAGACTTACAAACATTGTCTGTGTGCTAGTCTTACATTTTATTATTTAGAACTATATGCAAATTTAAGGTCTCACTTATTTTCCATCAGGTGTGCTGCTCTCAACCTGTATTTAGTCTGTCAAAATGCGGAATTTGAAGAAAAATCGTTTCCGATTGAGATCATGAACCGGTCAATGTTAGACCGCCATCGAAAAGCATGGATTCACTAGACGGTTGTTTCATCCTAGTATGGAACTCCTCGGCGAATCCGTACGCGGCACTCCAACCCAGGACCTTTGTTCTCGTGCGGATGCTTAACCTTTTCAGTTATATCATTGTTCTCAGCCCACAGAATCTGAAAAACTGGAGGATACATGCACATCGACCAGGATCGTTACCAGTTGTCATCAGGGTAAGAAACAGCAGTGAATTCGCCCACTGTCTCATGACAGTTCTCAATATCTTGTATATCCGGAAATAACTAACAGATCCAAACTTACATATATTTGCTTTTTAAGGTTATGATTGCTTTGTGATGCAATGTTATCGTCAAGTTGTGCGTGTGTTAGATCAAGTATTTATTTCTATGTTCCACTTTTAAACCTTATAATGTTATTAGGTTTTTTGTTCTTAATGGTGATTTCTATGTTTGTTGTCGTTGTTCAAATCTTCACATCTATTTTTTCATGTTTGTTTAAGGTTCAGGAATCAATCGATCCTACTCAGGTCAACTCCCTCAAGATGGATTACAACAATTAATTTCAGCAGCTGTTGCTGGTGGAATGTCTCAGACACAAATAACCTCTGTATTATCGACTCTAGGTTTATTTCAGGTATGTGTACATATCCACGAATACTTTCCAAAAATAGTGCAGTTTGTCCAATAAATACGCAAACTATGCTACGAAGTTTTTGAATTAGAAGACTTTAATTGCTATGATTCAGAATCGTTCGCAGCAGCGGAGGTGCATTCTTTTCTTGTCTTTTAGAATCTGAGTCTTGGTATCTCCTCAAACCTCTTTACTTTTTCTATCCCTTCATTCACTTGTTAATCACCTCACCTTATCCCACGGATTCCCGTCTCCGGCGGTAACGTCCCAACAAGTACACGATTAACAAAAATTACTGACAAAATGGTCGTGTGTGACCGGCCTCAAGCAGTTGTCTCTTTGACACTGAGGTCACGCTCTCAAGTCATTAAGATCACCTCGAACCCAATTTCTTTTCCAGGTGCTTGCAGAACCCCATCTTTCCTTGTGGCAAGGCAGCATCACTGTTATGCTGGTTGTCTGAAGGAAACTCCTTACTGCCATCACACCTCTGTAATCACCAGCGCGACTTCGCCCTCGGACCTTAGACATGCTGCTTTTAGTCTTACCACTCTTCAGCCGACCTACCTGGCATGGTAGGACCTTGAGAAACAATTGTTCCAGGCAGTATAGCCCTGTCGATTGACCACGATAGGCAAGCCCAACCACCACGTCAAGGGAGCAACAACGGTTGCGTTACTAATCAGTGGAGGGTCTTAATTTCACTATGAGCATATTGTTTATCCAGTAAATATATGATAATCCGCCTGCACGTTAGTGTTGATTGTTGTTTCTGGTTTGTAATTCGATCGCTAAGCCAGATTATTCTCTACATCCACCGGACAGCCCTCTAGAGTATCGTCTCACGGATGTTACAGCTAATAGGGGATATTTTGAAGGCGATTGACGAAGCCTAAAATTTGCATACGCTCTTATAAATAACTCATTTATTGGACATTCCACTTATTCTCATTAGATGTTTATTTTTTTATTAGCTCTTATAGAATTTATTGGTATAGTTGTAAGCAGATTCTTATTTTTACACACAGTTACATTTGTAGGTAGTACCACTCATTTCTGTTTTCGGGGTTATTTATTTTTCTAAAAATGTATTTATGCATTCGTTGTTTAAAGCTTCTGGCGCTCTTTTGTTGGATTTCATCTGCGTGTGTGTATATTTTGTTCGGGTGTTGTTTTGTGGCTACCAAGATTTTAATGATTATTAACTAGAGGACTAATCCGTTGTCTCAATGATTGATATCAAATGATTCTGTCCAGTTTGTCGAATTCTATCATTAGAATCAAGGAGATGATAGACATTTCTTTGATAGTCATACAGATTTCTTGGTTCAGATAAAAGGAAAACTATTCCATAAATTTTGAAGTAAAGAAATAATTCAATATCTTGATTTCTTAATGATTGACTACCATTCTACAGGGATTAGATTAGTTTTTTTTTCAAGGCTGGAGTTGGTTACGCGAACAGAATTATTTATTTTGTGTTCTGAAATCTTCTCTACTTTAGTAGATTTGAAAAAAGGAAGGATTCACATGTGCGTATGTATGTAGTTGATGTCATTCTTCTATTAGAATAGTTATGTTATCCTTACAACATCCAACAAGTATATCCAGTAAGTTTCGGTTTTCAAGTCAAAGATTTACATTGTTTAGTTTGTCTATTTTCTAACACTTATCAGTATGTATTTCGAGTAGTTGCATGTATTGGATTAGAGACAAGAAAAGTGTTTGTTAATTATCCTGGGGAATACTGTATGTGGATTATGTTGTCAGGACAAATAAGTGATTTTTTAAAATATACAATCAACTTAAACAGTATCTGGTGTCGTTAGTTCGTTCAGTTGTGTCACTCTTCTCTTATCTTCTTCACATATTATATTATACATACATATGTGTGCGTGTAGAATTCTCATTCGGATCATCAGTCTGGTCAGTTAAATGCTTCAAATATTATTGGTCGAGATGGTGGTGGGTGTGGTGACCGAAGCGTTGATAGATCACATTTTGACAATGGATATGTTGGTCGTTCAAAGTATGAAATTCCAGGTGAGCTAGACTGTGTGAGTGAACTTGTGTTGTTGTGTACTGCATAAGTTCGATTTCGTTGATTTGTAAATCTGTTATTCTCCACTGATGTTTTCCCAATACAGTTCTAACTGATATTTTTATTGATATTATCTGTGACCATTACAGCTATGTCTATAGTCGTTAATAATTATAAATCAAAGTTTTTTTGTTTTCCGTGATGGAACTCACAATACCTTCCGTATCTTTTAGTCAGAGTTCCGGTGTCATTTTAGGCTTTTGTACAGTAGTTCTTGGATTTTTTGAATGGTCAACAATGTAGTGCTGATGTTCACTTCACTTTCTCTACACAGTATACTGTTTGATTTGATGATGCCTTCCAAACTTCATGGCAGTTATATACCCATTTCCTTTTGACATAATGTTTCCAAATGGATCTATTTGCATCATAGTTTATTTATTTTTGTTGTAATTCAATCGAAATACATTTAGGCTTATCGAAACTGATCATATTCGACACTTCCAATTTTTTTATGTTCACTTCCGTGAGGATGGTTTGAGTGAATTGTCCAACTAAGTATGAATGTCAGTATTCGTGTGTGTATATGTATCGGATGTGACTTAGTTGGTGGAGTATTAGAATGTGGAATTGTTTTCATCTAGTATTATATACTCGTTTTTGTCCTTCTAATCATAACACATTGGTTAAATATAGCAATTCGTTCGCTTTGCCTAGTAGCATGCTTGTCATGCTTCTATTTTCTTTTTGAAGCAATATTAATTTTTTTCTTTACGTAGTAACGTGACTTTACATCAAATATCTAAAGTACATTTTTCTAGATGCTAATTTTGTCAAGTTTCTTCGTGCGTTTGTGTATGTGTGTCATAATCTAAACAATTGAATCATATTGACAACTTTATATTTTTGATATTTCCATTTATTCTTTGATTAATATTGATAATAATAATAATGATGATAATAATCTTCATTTATTAGGTAATTATCGGGTAGATTCTCGGAGTAACAGACAAGATTCATATAATATTGGCGGTTCTCTAATGAAATCAGGATCGCCTAATCTTCCTGGCCGTGGAAGTTACTCTAGATCATCTGATCGAGGACGTGATGAAACTGGTCCACAACATAACAATGATCGACGTCAGATACCCGAAAAAGTAGTTGTGAAAAATGTAAGATTTTCTTTTAGTTTAAGTTTACAACTTAATGTAAGTTTAAGAAATTTATTGTAAGTAGATTCATACATTCTGGTTTTCAAAATGGTACTCCAACTAAGGTTGTTGGGTGTTAAATATCATTTACCAACATTTTTTCTATTCTTAAATTTTTTACTTTCATTACGTTTTAATTATTTCGATATTTTTTCATCCTTTTTTAAATCTCCTTTTCTCTTTCTCTGCCCAATTTGATATGTGGCAGCTTGGACCAGTGCATATTTGTGCCCAGATCCCAAGTTGTTTTATGGTTCACTGATTCCCTTACTCAACATCTGCGAGATTTTAGAATTTTGGTGCTGTTGAGTTCTCTGAGTCACATAGTTTTCATTTTCATCCTGGACAACATCAGTATTTACTTCTTGTAGGAATGACCTTCTTTGACTATTCCACATGCCTTAAGTCAGTTTATTCTGTTGACTTTGTTTGTGATTGTTTGTTCTCTCAGTTTATACTGTAATATTCATTACTTTAAAAGTCACTCATTTGTCAACTTTCATATTGATAGAGCGTTGGGGTATCAAATGTTTGTAGTATATGTTTCAGAAATTGAGTGACCATCTGTGTGTATATTTATTACGTATTATGTGTGGTATTAGTAACTATTTAACGTCATTCGTTTTTCAGGTACAGGTTTTTGTTTCTAGCTTTAAGACAAATACTTTGTGTATAACGTTAATTGACAGGATACTCGGTTGTTCAAACCAATGCAAGCGCAGTTGAGGGGTGTCTGCACCTATTAAATGCAAATCACCTGACTAAATAACTAAAATACATGAATCTATATTTGATTGGTAAGAGAGTTATATATTGTGTACTCACAGTGTAACTCAATTATTATCAAGTTACTACTACACAAGCTCGCACGTCAAAACGGACTTTAAGGTTACTTGTAAAATATCTCTATTACCTAAATTATTGTAATAGAAGGTTTATTTGCTCGTAATTTCTATCAAGAATGGTTACCAAATGATTAGTATGTCACAGTAATAACAATATTTCGGCGTCACTTAGTGAGGAATTCTTGTGTATACTATCTATTTCTAGCTTCCATTCTCATTTGATTCACATGATGTGAAAAGAATATTCAGAGAAGTTGGAGATTTAAACACTTGTAATCTGGTAACAGACTCTCAAGGTCACTCTCAAGGAATCGCATTTATCACCTATGCAGATATTGATGGTATTTATCGTGCAATAGGTTAGTTGTTGAATGTCAAGTTAATCATGCATATTTTATGTATTACATGTATTGATCTGTTATGTGTTTTTAGACAACAATGTGCGTCTATCTGTGTGTGTTTTTTATAGTTATTCTCCTCTCACGTTATCGTAATTGATAAATTCAGTCTGTTTTAGCGCACTAAGGAAACTTGATGTAGCGACATTTAGCAACTAAGTATCTTGACTTGTAGTTTGGGGAAACTGAAAAAACGCCGATCGTTTTCACAACAATCGAAAATCTTTGAATGAACAATGTAACTTCACCATCTGGCTCTAATCGAGGATGTATTGATCATATCTTCACCCTTCACCAAATGTCGGAACACCGTCATACTTATCACAGGTCAACAATCGTAGTGTTTCTTGACATCAGGGCTGCCTTCGATTCGTTGGACAGGACTGTTCTCTGGGATTGTCTATTGAAGAGGGAAGTTCTTGAGAAGTTTATTAACATCTTAAAAGCCCTATTTACGAACACCTCAGGAAGAGTGAGGTCCCATTCGAGTAGTGGGGTTAGACAAAGTTGCCCAATCTCACCATTACCCTTCAACTTTGCTCTAAATGTCGTTCTGCAAATAATGACTAATCTTTCGGACCAAGCCTTTTACTGTTTCTACAAAATTCATTTTATTGTACTACTTATTTCTATGCATAGTTTGTTATTATAAACCTTGGAAAACATAACAGGGAAAAGTACTAAAATATTAACACACCGGTTGGGAAAAGAGTGATGGTTCATAAGAGGAAATGAAAGGAATGTTTCAGTGGGTATTGCCAGCACTTTAGTCACTGAGTAGAATAAACGACAATGAGGTAGAGGAATTCAACGACTCACTTTCTCTTGAATATATTTTATTCTTTTTTTAAATAGATGCTTTTGACGGTAAAATGTTTGAAGGACGACGTCTTCGAGTGCATGCTGAATAATAATATTAGGTGAGTCACTGACCATTAAATTTCGAACCTTAATTCTAAGAGTGAATTATTTTGTCTTGAGCGCTAACAGTAGTGTCGAACTGGTGGTGGCTTAGTGGTGGAGAGGTTCGACTTTCAGCCACTAAATTTCGTACTCGAACCTCGCTCCACCTACTTCGGTTTGAGCAACCAGTGATTATCACTATGCCCTAAGTACCTCGTGAATGAGTTGAATTGATTATTTTTATGTAGTGATTCGATCTTTTAACTCCACTTCACCTACCATTTATATTTTTATTTTAGTTCATACCATTTTTATGACCAGTGTTATTGTTAAAAAATGTTCTTATTAAATATTAAATATTGTAAATTCCAAATGAAACAAACAGTGAGGTTAATTCTACCAGCTGTCGCGTTATTTACGCCTAAGTTTTTCATTATAAACATTCGCGTAAGATTTTAAACCTTCTATAGAAATATATGAGTCTATTTATATAATTAATATACATAGTTAACAAGCCAAAACCATATCTAAAACAAGAAATTCGATAGACTAGTTAGAACGGCATCCAATCGTTCACGGAAACTATTCTCAAAAGAAAAAGATTCAAAAAGAATTACCCTGTTTGCTAAATGAGTTTATCACCGAATCTAGAAAGATAAAAAAGAAAAGAGCAGGAATTCCGATGGTCGAAAAAACCCTTTTTTACTTTATTTTATTTTATTTGAACACATGGATATTGGTACAAAAAGGCACCAAATACATATGTGCAACACAAATGTCATTTGACTTGTGCGAGGGCTGTGATACTGCCCGGGAGCCCAAACCGGAGCAGGTGGTTTTGTTAGGGGGTCACACCCCGAGCCTTCGACCTGAAGGTCTGATCCACAAAGCAGTGGAGTGTCGTAAGGAGATGCAGTCCCATAGTAGCAGGTGACCAACGATTGGTTCATACGTCATTTGTTCTCGCAGGATGCTGGAGCCCATGTGCACCACTAGTTTGGAATCGGGGTTTTCCAACTCCCCTAGGTGGACTCTCTATGTCCACCAACCCGGTTAAAGCGCCGGACATTCGCTTTTCGTCCTCAATTTCGTAAACAACACCCGTGGCACGAAAAGGCAGTGAGTAGGACTACCCTGGAAGCGGATATATACGCGTGGCCGTTTGACAGCATTTCGAAAGGGTAAGCGGACTCCCCACTCGGCCGTACCAGGGCATTTGGGGACCGAAAAAAACCCAATTATAAATATTTCACTTCTTTCTAAGAGAGAGGTCAGCTGCTACTCGTATTGCTCAGACTTTGAAGTGGGGAGATGCAAATTCTGATCCTAAAGAGATCCCAAAACACTACTTATCCGCCTTGCCGTGCTTTTTACCTTCAAGCGACCATTTCTAACTTACTAATCATACTAAACAAAAGATTTTCTATGAATATTTCAATGAAACATATTGTCTGTTATCCTCTTTTCTTTATTATAGATTGGATTACGATTTATCTTTTACAAAAAATGTATTATTATACCAACAGTTATGCGCCGTCGAATGTTGTTATTGTTTCCTCTAGTTTGTTGCTACGTTCATTTCTTCTTTATTGTATATCGATATTATTGTTGTTATTATGTTCGCACTTGTGAATGACATTGTTAGGCACATGAAATTCTTTTCATCGCTTACATGATAGCAATGATGGTAATAATAATAATCACAAATACATATGGGTTTATAAAATGTTTTATTTTTTCTGTTTCCCACCATCTACGAATTTTCTATCTTTTTATATTTATTGTTGTTGCCCGACGCATTTTTTATTGTCCGTTTGTTAGTTTGTCGTTTTCACTTTCATGCTGTTATTACCGTCCAAAAAGTAATCATCGTCATAGCCACTATAATTACTAAGGAAATATATCATTTTTTCTATTATGTGTTGCTTTATTGTTACGTTCTAATATAAATTAGTGATTGTTATGAAAATTTGCAGTAGTAAATAGGTCCGCTAGCTTTTTATTAATGGATTATCTCATACTATCTTTAGAGTATGCGATCCTATGTGTCCACTTTTAATGTTCTAATACAAAGTCATATCAGATAGTGTCGATTGATGGAGGAAGTTACCAAACGGTGACTTTGAATGGTGTGGCCACATGGGTTGTTTGAATTCATGAAATATTCAATTTTTTTCGGCTCCGGTGAATAAATCTTTTGGAATGAACCGCTATATGTCAATTTAGTGGTTTGAGAGCAATGCACTCGTTGGGGGATCGTACTTTCGATATCATGTACTGTCGTTATTAGGCGCTGTCGAGGAGTTCACATTAAGACGAAATGGCTGTTCTGTTTTCTAATGATTGTCCAACTAAATTTAGCCGATTGTGTAATCTACTTGTAAGCTGAACAATCTCTACACACTTGTCATGATTTTTCCTTAATAGTAATCTCTTATGAGATGAAATCACGAATATTTTTGTTGAATCGATAACTCAACAAATCATTGTTTAATAAAAATGAAGGTTAATTTGAAAGATCGGTTCATTTTTGTTCAAACAAACTTTTAAAACCAATGAATATTAAGTTTAATATCGACGTTTGTATGATACTTGAAATCTCTTTCATCAAACTCAAAACTGTTTGTAGGTATCCATGCCAAAGTTGTATTTGATGGTTTCAATTAAATTGAGCATTGAGTAGAAATTTAGAAATAAACATATTTTTTTGCTATATCCCGATGATTAAAAAAATGTATTTTTGACGTTTCATGACTTAACGTAAGCCACTTCAGAGTAAATGAATAACCGGATTAAATTGATGCAACTTGTGTTATTTTTAAGTTATTCTTTTTGATGTTGGAGAACCATTAAAGGTGGGATTTTCATAGTTGTTTCGTATCAAGCCAGGGATCAAATTAGTGTTTGGCAAAAAATAGTGGTTCTTTAATTCCTGGTGTCTAGGCTGGATATGAATTTTGGTCTCCTTGACTAAAATCATAGAATTTCGTACCATTGAGGTATGCTGTGTCTCTGAAACACACAGGATCTTAGTGTGGTCATTCGCTTGACTTCACCTCGGCAAAACGGGAAGCCGACGAGATACACCCTCCGATTATCTAGCTAGTTCTCGTGGACTGGCGGATGTGGGCGTAGCACAAAGTAAGAGGGCAGAACAAGCACTATTAGAATGGGTCCCCGTTAACAGTAGCCTATGTGCTGTTCGGCTGAACGGCTCCGTAAGAACTCGGAAGGATAGGGACGCGTCGTTGCGTTTTCGTCGTTTCTGCCCACTCTCACACTGAACACAGTCCGGTTGAAGTGAAAGATGACTTTTACAGAAAACTTCCTGAACTTCTTCAAAAAGGTTAAAGGCTCAGACATAGTACTCGTAGCAGGTGACTAATGCTCAAGTAGGTGGTTTAAATCAAACAGACATTTAGTCGGGTATTTTGATATTCCGGCTCAGCGAATAGATAATGGCGATTGTCTGCTACAACTGTGCTCAGACAATCGTTTATTTTTAGCAAACACTAGATTTAAGCATAAGGAAAGATGTTGTCTAACATGGCGACTTCCTGCACCAAACCAACTATGGACTCAAATAGACAATATTGCCATCAGTCATCGTTGGAGAGGCTAGATAGAAATCTGCCGCTCGTTCCGGAGTACATGCTTATGCTCTGATCATGATCTAATAGGAGCAAGCATTTTTCTCGTGCCTCGCTGGATGCAGAAAAACCACATTAGAAAGATCCATTAGTGTTGAACTCAGTGACGAGAAAACCAAATGTAGATCTCAGGAACAACTGAGGTCACACTTAGGTGGTCCTGAAAACGAGGCTGACCCAGATGTTGCCTGGGAAGATATACGAACAGCTTTGGAAACAGCAGCAACATTTAATCAAAGGTTCACGAAAAGCTAGCGGGTTTCTGCTGTCTATTATGCTGATAGGTTTTCGTAAACTCATCCCATGATGAAGAGCGAAAACAAATCAGATCTAGGTTAACCAAAAGTTTACGGAAAGACCGTAAACAGTGATGGGCAACGAAAGCAAAAGAGATGGTAAAGGCAATGGTTGTAGGTAACACCAGACTAATAAAAGAAACGAGTTAAGAAGTCATGTGAGACGATTTCGGAAAAAGACGACACTTATCTACTCGGCACGTTTAGAACGATGCGCGGAACACTAAGAAGTTCGGCTACCTACCATACAGCCTGAATGGAACATTGAAATAGGTTCCCCGACTCTAGTGTAGTTCAAAAAGCTATGGCTAATCTGAAACGAGGAAGAGTAACTGGTCCAGATGGATTGGCTCCGGAGGTCTTTAGGGATGGTGGTCCAGTTTTAGCGATTAAGTCGACTAATATTTTAGCTAAAATCCGGGAGTTGGACGCAATCCCATCTGACTAGTTGCGATCACTGATTATCACAATATATAAGAAGGAGTCAAAATTATACTGTCATAACCATAGAGGGATTGGTTTGACTAACATAGCATCTAAAATACTAACCTCAAGAATTGTCAGCTGCCTAACAAAGACTCGTGAACTGCCAACACGAGAAGATCAGTCCGGTTTTAGACATGGTCGTGGCTGCATCGACCACATATTCACCATTCGTCAGATCTTAAAGCACAGGCATGCTTGTCGGTGTCCGACTTAAAGGCAGCATTTGACTCTGTAGACAAAGAGGTTCTGTGGGAGTGTCTGTCATTGAAGTGTGGGCCTCGGAAGTACATAAACCTTGTGAAGGCTTTACTCGAACACTACCAGTCGAGTCAGAGCTTATGGCGAACTTTCATTTGATTTTTCAACCACAAGTGGTGTCCGTGAAAGCTGTCCAATATCTCCATTTTTCTCCGACTTCATCATAGACCTACTGCCAGAAATAACGTTCTCGTCGACTGAATTTTCGGGCATTGGTCACCTACCAGGAGGTTTACTTATCGACTTACAATACGCCGATGATATAGTCCTGTTTGGTGAAGACGCTGATAAAATCCAGTGTCTTTTGGTAGCACTCAGCAACAATGCCAGGATGTTTGCGATGCGTTTCTCCCCATCTAAATGCAAGTTGTTGATTCAGGACTGGTCTGCGTCAACACCTGAACTAAGGATAGGGAGCGAAGTGGTTGAACGCATCGGCAACTCCACTTATCTTGGAAGTCTGATCAGCCGTAATGGGTTGGTGTCTGACGAAATATCGGCAAGGATTCACAAAGATCGTTTGGCGTTTGTCAAGTTACGTGACCTATGGCGAAGGCGAGATATCTGTCCATCAATTAAGGGACGAGTATACCGCGCTGCAGTTCGTTCTGTTCTACTTTACGGCAGCGAAACGTGGCCATTAAGAGTAGAAGATATTCGTAAGCTACTAGTATTTGACCACAGATGTTTCAGAAATATTGCTCGTATCTGCTTGGATCACCGGGTAAGTAATAGTGAGGTTAGACGCCAGGGTATTAGGGAACGATGGTAAATCAGTTGATGAGGTTGTGAATCTTCATCGATTGAGATGGTTGGGGCACGTGTTGCGTATGCCTGAACACCGATTACCGCGACGCGCAATGCTGACCAGTGTTGGGGATGGTTGGAAGAAAGTTATTGAAGGCCGAACCAAAACGTGGCACCAATGCTTGAAGTCACTAACTTCTAATCTGTGCTATGTTGGTAGATGCAGACTACTTGGTTGGTGTCCGCGTGACGATAGTAACCAATGGTCGGAGACTCTGGGTCAGAATCGATCACAATGGCGTAGGTGTATACATTCTTTGTCTTCCCTTAAACTAAGAGATTAAAATTGCTTTATACCTTTCCTTCTACAAACTGGTTCTTTCTTCCCGTATTATCCTTATATGCAGTCCTTCTTTTGTATATTACTACCATTGCACTAACTAGTTCTATGAATTCGGTGTTCATCTTATTATATATATATATATATATATATATATTTCCTACCCCTTATAAATTAAATTTAATTCTTAGCTAATGATATCCAGTTTTTGTTCAGGTCATCTCTGGTTTGCTCTTAAATGACCTCACTTGCCAACTTCTGATTGGTTTACTGTGTCAATGGTGAATCATATTTCCCATTTACAAATCATCATAGAGCCAGACTACATTTAAAAAGCATATAAGGTTTTCAAAGATATTTAATCCTTAGGGTTGTTTATAAAGAATTGATGACCTAACATACTCATAATCCTATCGGCCGTTAAAATTAATTTAATAAAGGAATGATTATGTTCAATTTAATTGATCATTTTAAATGTCTCAAAAAACAGTACGACTTTATCATCTTGCCAGACAATACTTGTTTCAGTATTCTACGTGTACGCTTTATGCTGTTCAGTATTGAATAATATTCTCACTGTTACGAAATCTTAATGCTATAGTAAACCCAAGAGTTAACGAAACACTTTTCAACCGAACTTGTCCTGTATATTCTTTGGATAGGATGTAGACCCCTATTTCTGTTCTACCAACATGACTGCCTTGGTAGAATACATGTGAATTTGTATACGCAGTTGGTAGTAACATGAAAGGGATACCTATCGATCTTTGACTGTGTTAAAGAACATGTTTTGGACAAGACAGTCAGTTTAGCTCCAGGATATGTTCTTGTCAATGCAGTTTTTAGTCATATGTTGATTGACCCTGTAGCATCATCACCTTTGAATTTAAGTTGAATAGAAATAGGCTTTTTGTTCACTGTAGTTTCTTTGAGTTTTTTATCTTCACGTTTTACTTATTTCTCAATAAATTTCAGTAGGTTTCGGTCGTTCTTTAAACACCTTTTCACATTCATTAGTTCCTCTTCTAGTGTATCAGCAGTACACGTTCTTTCTGTTCTGTGAAGTAGTGTTTTTAACCAGTGCCTTTCTGTATCTGAGTGGACAAAAGCTATTGAAATTGAGATAAATCCCATTCCATGAATCTTTCCAACAAACTGAAAGTAGGCCTGTTCCATCCTTCCTTCGTTTTATTGCGATATGAAGAAAACAGAACTTGTTTTCATTTTCACGTTCTATTGCAAACTGGATGTATTTATGGACTTCATTGAATAGTATCATCAGATTTGTAGGATGTTGTTGATTATTAGATTCGACTAAGATATCCACAACCTACCTCTAAAATACACCATTTTACTGATAGCTACTTCAAACTTCGTTCTTTCGAGATTAGCCATGAAAATGCTAATACAGGACCTAACGGACCTCCCATTGCTAAACCGTCAGTTTGTTAGTGTATGAAATTATTTTACTGAAACTGAACGTCTATTGTACACATTATTAACAGTCGTTTGAGTTTTGATGCTTGTAAAGGTAGGATATCAGAATGGTGACAAATTATGTCTATGGTTTCTAGAAGTGGTTTTTTAGTATACAAAAATGTTACATCGAAAGAAACCATAGACTTACCAGCAATGTTTGTATGGTTCATACTGTCGGCAAATTTAAATGAAACATCGCTGACGGACTGGTAATAACGTATCCGCTAGCCTACGTGCAACTTTGTGGTAGGATGAATTAAATATTGACAGAATAGGTCTAAGAGGAACATCTTGTTTATCTTTGGGAATAATTCAAAGTTTTATAAATTGATGTTGGAAGTAGTATGAGTTGAGACACTCATCAGAAAACTTAAGTCGAGTCACTTCCCACGATATTTCTCAGCCTATCATCATCAAGTGATACAATGATTCAGAATATTGTACAACTTTCCTCAGTGTCCCATATAAACTATGTGCTAAAGAGGGGAATACATTATTATTATGGACATTTTTTGTTAATAGGTATTTGTGTCATACTAGCATATTACATCAATAACCATGAAATATATCAATCATATATATGCCTATTTCCTACTTCATTAGATGTATAGCTTAGTTAGACTAAACAATTATTGTTTTAATTAACCAAACATTATCAGTGGCTTATTACAAGTTAACAATCAATGTAAGTTTAAACAGACAGCAGTCAACAAACGTACATACAAAGATGCAACCAAGAAAAAGTGTATACTAGAAAAGCGGCAACAGCTACAACAAATTTCAAAACAAAACAAACGAAAAAAAATACAAAAGTCCAACATGACAAAAATAGATGGGTAATCTCAGTTTGTCAATGATCAGGGAAGAAAATACACAAACATTGGAATGATATTGAAAAGAAAAAAGAGCTGGAAAATTATCATGGAATAAACAACTATCACTGTGTTTTGTTAGACAATGAAGTTATTATGTTGAAAGAAGATGTTACTTTTCCTTCCTCTCCTTCTGGTCGTCAACCCATCAGGATTAGAATATGAAAAGCAAATAAAAACACATCTCATGATCATCGAAAGACAAGTGAGCTTGAACATGTGATAAGTAAGTAATGGTCAAGAACAGTCAATGATCTGATAACTATGAAAGCTATCATTTATTTGTGACAGATATATAATGAAGGCAAGAAAAAATGTAACACCATTATAGTTTCTGCTATGAATCATAATTAATTTCTTTAGTAACTTATATTATGTAAACCCCAAGCATAAGCAGTGAATGTTAACAAGCGTTTTGTATTTGATATTGTAGTCATTGTATCTTTATCCATAAATGACTCATTTGTCATAGGATTGATACACGTTATAATGTTACCTAATTCAAGGCATTCTATGTAAAATAATGTCTCTTCATTGGAATCAGTGATACCGGCGTCAACTAACCATTGTTCCAGGGTGTACTGATGAAATATTTGTTCGTAGTGAATTGAATTAATTCTAAATAAAGAAATAAATAACAATAGGAGAGAAGTCAAGCTTATAAAATACGGAGAATTTATATTCGAAGTAAGTGAGTCAATCAGTCATATGGAATGTTTGCGCATCGGTCCAAATTGCTGTAACACATTAGCACAGAGAGATAATATTGTCAAGACTAATTGTAGAGTAGTGATAATAGTAATAGTAGAAAAGATTAGGTATAGCAAGAAGGAGACAAAGTAAAAGGAGATTTCGGAATTCAGTATATAAAGGAAAACAAATAGCAAATTTACTTATGCCATTATGAAAAATTCTGACTTATATTACCCCAAAGCCCTAACCAGTACACTGATCTGAACCAGGTAGTTCATGCCTGTTGAAATAGTCCAGCCCAACTGTCGATAATTTCACGAACTGGTGCTATGTATTGGTTTGGTCACGCCCAGATTTCTTCCTATACGTCAGATAACATTGTCCTTCGTGGTAGGTCATTGAGAGTAAGTCGTACATGTACCAACCACCATATTTCATGAGGATTCACCACTTCATCAAAAAACTTGCCACCCTTAGTATTGCTCACTCGGTGATCCAAAAATACACAACGAATGCTTGGGAGATACATGTCAGCAAATACTAGTAACCTAAGAATGTCCTCTATTCTAAATTCACAATTATATCCAAAGTGATGTGAGAAGTAAATACAGTTGACCAACGTTCCAACTAGAGAATTTCAAATGGTGAGTGGATAGATATTAAAAGTTGTGAAATACTGCTAAGGCAGTCGCAAGAATAGTCAGATTTTATTAGAAGGGCTAAAATCTCTTTTGGAACGATAACCGCCTGCATATTTTCTACCAATCCGACTTTTCGTACGACCTCTGCCCTCTGAATGGTTTTAATGCTTATTTAGTTTGCTAAATCGCTACATGCTCGAAGGTCATATCCTGCTAGTATAGTAACAACTTTTGTACCAATTTCGTTAAGTTGCTTGTTCTATCATATACTTCAAGTTACATGCAATTCCGTCTTCTTTCTGTCTTAGCCGTCGAGGATTGATGTGTTGACCGTTGTCAGTTCCGAAAAGAACCTATAGTGTTAGAGAAGCTCAATCGTTTTCGTTCCTAAGTCCAGAACATCATAGGCCGTACTGAACCCTAATAACAAGACAGAACAAATACAATAATGGATTTGTTGAGTTGATTGGAGACTGAGGAAAGCAGAAACTTTTGTGCACTAGTGATTTAGCCGGGTATCAAAACTAGTAATAATTTTTTCTTCTGGGTAACATGGGTGATGAGTATTTTACGCTGAATAATCACTGAATGTCGTATGTTAGTTGATTTTAATCGATAGAGCCTTAGTGTGGTTACTACCAGTCAATATGACTTGAATCCGCGTGGGCTACACTTCGGCGTGATGTTGGTTTCAACTCAATGAACAATCTCCGAAAGGAGATTAATTGTAACCAAAATAGCTTAATGTTAAATGAAGTGGGTTTAAATATCATACGGAGCATTATTTTCACCAAGATTGTAAATATGGTTTGTTGACGAGTGACACCAAGAACAAAGCATAAATTTATAGCTTCTTGTCAATCGAATGCGATTATATAACATAGTTCAAATTCCAAACGAATAACTCACTAATGATCAACTATCATTGTTTAATCCAAATGTATAGTGATAATTCATTCTTTAACTCATCCTGTAGCGCCTCTAGGGTTACTCCCGGTCCCAAGCTTGGATAACGAGGAGGATTGTAGATCGGGTCGGCAACCTCATCCCTCATTGGTAATAATAATAACAATAAAGATATTGTAACAACATAAAAACTATTTAAAAAAGCTTTTGTCTTACTTACATTTTCCCAGTACCAATATTTGTTGAACATGATTTTAAATGAAATTTCACAAATTGATTCACTATTTTATCAATTTTACTCTTATCAACATTTGGCTGATGAAAAGATTCATTGAAACTTCCATTGAATTGTTTACTGGTGAAATGACTAAACCAACGTGATAAACTTTATATGGCAACAAGCAATGAATATAATGGGAGAGAGCGAATGAGAGGGAACGTTAAAAAAAGAATGAATGAATGTATCATTATTATTGTTATTCATTATCATAAGTAAATAAAAGTAAACATTGATTGATAGGATGATCATGGCTTCAAGTTGCTTACGTGTACTGTTTTATAATTCCAATTGGCGTACACTTCATCGAGTAGTATTCAAGTGCTAATTCTACATAGGACGGAGTACTTCTTTAATATTTTGGTTAAGCCATGTAAGATGATTCTATCCAATTATTTATAAGTAGAAGCATAGATAGAATCCGACTGATTTGCATTCAGCTTAGTAACTTATGATTACTAGGTAATTGTGTATAGGTTCACCATAGAAAGTTATGTTACTCTACTGCGGAACTATAAAGTGAGTAGGGTTGATGTTAGATGTAGGCGTTATGGCGTACAATTTTGATGACTTAATGAACCAATTTTCAACTCTTAAAAATGAAAAAAGACCGATAGATGAATTCAATGATATGATGTGGCCAATTGATAGCTGTTTACGAAACTGTATTATCGACTAACTTTACAATCAATTGAAACGATTGCTTAGTCTAATTTTTGTGGATAGTATCAGTAGCGTACCATGTAAAAATGATACATCGTTTGATCGTGCTGTGTATATTCATAAATTAAGGTGGTTTTTTGTTTATAAATGTAATAATTTCAACAGTTGAGATCATGGGTCAATTGAAGCTAGAACATAATGGAAAACCTGGAAGCACTGAACGGCCGTTTCGCCCTATTGTGAGACTCCTCAGCAATAGGCATCCACGACCCCGCCCCTCGCGAGACTCGAACCTATCAGTCTCGCGCGCGAGCGCTTAACCATTAGACCACTGAGCCGGCATTCAACGGTGTTAATATCTAACTTCAACCAATCCACGAAATTGCGCCACGGTTACCATTGTCTTCAGTGAGCTGATATCTCACAACAGACCTGGTGGTCTGTTGACTCATGATCTCAACTGTTGAAATTATTACAATTTCCACAAAACCTCTTCTGATATAAATGTAATAGTCAAATATATGACAAATGGAAAAGAAGCAATAATGAACATAAACATGTACTTGATAGAACTCACCATTAAAAAAGAAAATACTTGGAAATATCAAAAAAAAATAGTTCAGATTTTCTCTTTGTTCACCAAAGATTGTTATTAGAGTGATTTTATTTAATAAATTTGAAAATAACCGAATTACTTATTTACGCCTGTTACCCCTCGTGAAAGACCATAGACCACCCACCAGTATTCTCTATCGAACCTAATAAATATTGCTAATACTATTGAATCAATATAACTTATTTACTAAATGGATATTCATACATTCAGCTTGAATTTAACTGATCTGATTCGTGAGTTATAACAAGTTGTTAGTTCATTGTGGAGAAATTCTTAACTCACACTAATTATCTATAGTTCATACCGACAATGTGTTGGGAGATAGTAAAAGCTTCACGATTAAATCATCTGGCTAAGAGAATGTAATTTTAATAAAATGTATCGAATAACACATAGCAGCATCATTTTGTCTGACTAACATGCTATGACCCCAATACCGATATTATGTAACATCGTAAATAAAAATCATTAATCTTAGACATCATTAATAAGTGATTAGAAAAAGACTTGGATATTGGTATTTCAATTTAAATCATAGAAACTATTCACCATAAAGACAGAAAAAAAATACTCCAACAAATTACAAATTATTTTACCTTAATTACTTAGTTGAAAAAGAATAGTAGGAAGTTGGTGATCTTTGAAGTCAATTAAGTTAGACAGTTGATATGAAGAGTTTTAAACCATGAACTAACTTAAGTAATAAAATATGAACCATTGAATACTGAGTTAATACAGCTGAATAATACTTTGTCTTCATTATAAAACTTGAAGAATGGTGGATTCAATCCGGAATTGTAGGAGCAAGAGCAACAAATTAGGATTAGATGACAATTACAGGCGGCCTGTTTGAATATCTGGGCTACCTGTTCCTGCCATCTGCATATTTCAACAACTTATCTGTTTTCTTGTTTGTTTTAACACATCATTATGCCTATTAGTCTCATAACCTATTCAGGTGCGTTTGTGAAAAGTTTACAACATTTCGCTGTACAAGTTACAAAAGAGCTCAAACAGAGACATCATGGTTACTGGCAATATGCATCGAAAAGGATATACATTTATCAGATGTCGATCCCTGAACGGCTAACATCTAACTGGCGACCACTCAATATTTATCGCAAGATTTGATCAAGAAATAAGAAAGCGAGAGTTATTGAAATACTTTGTGCTGAGAATTCTATATTGTACCAAAAAATATAATATTGAATAAAGCCACTAATAATAATAATAATAATAATAATAATAATAATAATAATAATCTGATGATGTCTAGCTTCAGGATAATTGCTCAAATGTTATCGATTCATCGATATGTCATTAATAAAACAGTTAAAGGGGTCAAGCCGAGAAATGGCATCAGTCCATGAAGACATTGATAACTGAACTAAGGTGTATTAGTAGATGCAGACTACTTGATCGGAGTCGGTGCGGTTATGGTAACCACCAATTGGAAACGTTGGGTGACTTGGCTCAGGAAAGGCCTTAATGGTGTAGATATATGCAATTTCTATCTTCTCTTCGATTTTGAGTTTTAAAATTATCCCATAGTTTTTATTCTGTGAATTTGTTCTTTATTTTTGGATCGTATTGTCCATTTTTTATTACCACTGATAATGATACCAATTCTATTCATCAGGGATTCGTTGTGATGATTTCATCTAGTTTTAATGATATGGTGTAGTAATTTGAACAGATACATATATGTAGCAGTTTATAAGTTCCTTATAACTGTCTTTTGAAAAAGTCAGTTTGATAGAATTAGATATTCATTTGCAACCGCGTACATTTCCATGGAACAGAATATGTGGTGATAGTTGAAATAAATGGGTCAAATGGGATCCAGACAGATTTTCTCGAATATCCCGAAATCAAATTTCATGAGATCGCAATTAATACTCTTAGCCTAAAAACCGCTATACTAAGTAAAGTTTCAACCACTGAATAATACAACATGTCACTTCATATGACTATTAAGTCGTACTAACAGCCACATCATTTTAGTCTCAACGCTTTTAAATACAAAATGTCAGTACACAGATCAACTTTGGTCAAATGATCATTGAACACCAGAAAGCACTGGACAACTGGAAGGTTGTGGGTGAGCATCACCAATTGTCCAGTTTTCGGTGGCTATCTAGATAAAATCAATCAGTGGTGTGAAACTATGTGTTCAACAATCTCCACAACATTTCATTATAGATTTCAAATATGAAGAAATGTAGAACAAGTACAACTAGTACTATATCCATGATTTAAGGTCAGTAAGTAAAGTAAGTAAGTAAGTAGAAAGCGGTAAGGTGTTTAAATTCAGTTTTTTACTTACAAACGTTTTGTCGGCGCAATAAACAAATCTGCATCCAGACCAAATAATACAAATAAAACTACACCTTGACCGAAATTAAAAGAACCATCCAAAAATTCGAGAACTATATAAACACCTGTTGGAGCATCATGTACAAGCCTCCAAGTACACAGACAAATACCCTAAAAAGAGCAGAAAAAAGATAAGAATGAACATAGTGGGATCTCTTCTGCTCGAAATGACGAAACCTATCATAAGGAGATAATAACGTTGAATGAGATGATTAGAATAAGTAATCTGATGCGATTCACAAAATAACGTGAACGAAGCTGGAAAATTTACGATTCAATTAATTCCTAACAAAATACAATCTTTTGCTGTTATCTACTGTACATAACTCAAAACTGGTTAAATTCATACCATTCAATAATTAAGTATTTCGTACCAATTAAAATGGAGGTCATTTGCTTTGAAGTAATATGTGTCGCAGTTGTTCTACAACGGTTGAAGATGTTGTCAAGCTTAAATATCATATTTCATTCATATTCACTGTTTAATTTAATTATATATTTAGAAACATGTGTAGCGACAAAAATGTGAATAAGTGTCTAACAACAATAATTTTGAAAATATAGCCAGATATAGGGATCTGAGTAAAGTCTAGTCTTATCCAAGCTGCCAGCTGCAGAAGACAAACGTAAAAATAGATGAAAAAAAATAAACAAAAAGAAAATACTAATATCCACTACAGTGGAAAATTACCAACGTAAGGAACTATACTCCAAAACAAATATATGTAAGCAATGAATGAAATGATATCAAGCTCAAAATGACAAATGAACGTGGTTACACACCACCGTAATCTTTTTGTGTTATATCATTTAATTTTAGATTCTCATAAAAAACGATCGGTATTTCAAAAAGATGAAGTAATTTCATTGAAATCATGATCCAATCAATATTAGAACATCATACAAAAACTGGACGACCGTTTTATCCTAGTATGGGGCTCCTTAGCAGTACGCACGTGAATTAAATCCAGCACCTTCGATCTCGCGAGAACATCTAACTTCTAGATCACTGAGCTGACATCAATCGGTGTTAATGTATAACTCCGACTAATCCACGATATTGTGTGACTATCTTCCATTGTATTCAGTGGATAAATGACTTACACTCGACACGGTTGGACCCCACTGGTCGCGGTTACTCACTAGAACTCTCAGAATATTTTCTCAAAGCTAGTCACTAGTCAGAACATGATAATTTTCAGTATGGGGCTGTGGAGATTGATCGGTTGATTATTTCAATCTCTACAACCCCATACTAAAGATTAGATGTTTATTTTCTGAACAAACTATGCTGTAGTTTTTGTTCACTTCACTTTTAATGCTATAACACTTCAAAAAGAGAAAAAATCTAAACATTTAGTGCAACTCGGTAAGGGTTAATGTATCCTGTACTGAATTAAGCTTACTGAATGAGGTCTAAATATACCAATTACTCATGAAGTGACAAAATAAGATTTCTAACACAAGATTGTTGCAATGATTGAAAATCAAACAGAACAGTAAATAGATTGTAAGTTGTATGGTAAAAGACGTTTGATCAGGTAGATTTTTTTAACAGTTTGTATTTTGTTACCCTGTAGTTAGAAAACCTGTTTTGATTTTAATGCCAACCGTGAAGCTATAAAAAATGAATCACTGAATGTTCTTACACTTCTTACATATAAACAGACATACACTTCAAGTGGTTGGAGACAAGGACGAGGAAATCTCACTTGGTGTCAATCACGATTGATAATAATGAATTAACGAGTTACACTTAATTAGTATAAGGGTGAGTAGATCCTGGCAACAAGCTTCTGCATGCAATTCTAGTTCTAGAAAAAAGTTTTAACTAGTGGGGTTTAGACACGTCAGATGCAAGACAGTTATCCACTTCAGACAATAGGAGATGGTCGCACAATGCCACAAATCAATTGAAGCTAAACATATACAACATTAAATTTAAGATTAGGTTATGTTTGTCTCAGTAGTTAGTCAACTGAAACATACACACATACATACATCGATAATATGAAAGTAAACTTACTAAAAACATTGTAACTAATATTAATATTAAGAATATCACATGTTTATGATGTGGAGGTTTACTGTTTCCTTGAGCATGAACATTATCCAACTCAAGTCCTAAAGCAATTTGTTGAGTTATTGGATGTGTAGCTGATGTTGACGATATCGTGGAAGGTTGATGTGTTTCACAATACCGTGCAAGAATTCTAGACAGATAATAAATAAACAAAAAGAGAAAAATGATAATAATTCAAATTCATGGGGTACCTTTGAAGTTTATCCATAGAACAAAATGAAAATAAGCCGTAATATCAAATAATGTTGAATTTGGGGGGGGGATTGTAGTAATTTAATAGTTAAATTCATGAGTCGATTTAAGTTAGACCACCATGAAAAATCTGGAAGCATTGGATAGTCGTTTCCTCACAGTATAGGACTCCATCCAATGTTTCCAAATTTTCCATGGTAGTTTAACTTAAATCGACTCATGAATTCAACTATTAAATAATGTTGAATTTCATATTTTTTTTCTAAAAAGAAATTATTCACTAAAACAAACAACGACAAGAAGCCAATTAGAAATATGAATTTATCTGATCACTACAATTGTATTCTACTTCCTGTAAGATATTGACATTCTTTTTTAATATAATACAATTGGTTTTCATTACTTGTCGTCAACTCCCACGTTTCCTAGCATTATATAGAAAACTATGCTGATTTGAATTGATATGGTCGTTTTTTCTTTCTTTATTGCGTAATTCATAGAATGAATGAGTTGATGTTTTATTCTTATCTCTGAGTAGTAGTAATTTTATACAACCATTCAAGTAATACAAACATCTCTTTATCTGTAGTTAGGAAAGCTTGTTTTAAATAATAAACTCTAGTGTTTATTAAGTTATATAATCGTAGGTATCATGAATGAAGAATCTTACATTATGCAACAATTTTTGAAAGACTCTTCCGGTCTCCCACATTGTACGAGCATTCCATGTACCTAAATAAGTGGTTGCTCTGGTTGTCAGAAGGGGCATCAGCCTTGTGACTTCCGAAGTAACTCGGCTTTCATCATGCGGCGTCATAACTCCCAGGACAGAGTTTAAATAGTTTGAATAATTTTTTCTGGTTAGCGTTTTTTAGTGAGTTAGTTTTCTACGGGATGGGGTCGCTAACTCCATGACCAACCCTCCTCCCTTATCCGGGCTTGGGACCGAAAGTAGCCCCCGGAGGGACACCAGGCGGAGTTCTTACGTTATTATGGATTGACTCTATTGAGGTGAGCAAGATTTATTATTTATTAGTTAGTGCTTGAGTTAGATTCTGTGTAGTGAGTGTATTATAAAATACGTTGACCAGGTGATCGATAGTTTAATGTATCCATCAAATTGAATTAGTATAACAAACTACGGCTTTACAAATTTTCTAGATACAACTGGTTGGGTATATATGTAAGCCTATTTCGGGATACCCATTGGTCATAATTCTTGCACAGCAATGAGAAATGTATACGATGATGTTTCTCCTACAGCATTACATAGGTTAATAGTTTCGATTAATGTTTTACCTAACGAATGTTACCAATATGTAAGTTTTCTTTTACTTTACTAACTAAGAGCATAAAAAATATCAGTATTATTTACATTATTATTGGAAATAGTAGTTACTAGGTGAAGAAGAAGCTGTACCTCACTTCTGGGACTTTTGATTTCATATTTGTCTAGTCTTTTTGGGCTATTCAATTTTTTTTCGGTCTAAGTGGCTCGACATCGAGTGCACCATTTCGAGGTGTTAGACAGATGCAGATAGTAAACAGCAAGCCCTGGACATCGGTTTCATGTTAGTTGGAACTATACAAACATGACACTGTTTACGAGCCAGTGACCAACCAATTTATGTATCTCTTCTAGAATTACTAGAAGAGCTTAAGAAACCGAATCAAGCGTTCAGTCATCGCTTAAATAGTTCACTGGTAACGTCTCAGACTAAGATACTAAGCGGCAAGTGTTAGAACTCCGAATTGAGCATCAGTTTCTTTATTACTTCAAGTATACCTTCCTGATGAGTATCGACTAATATCAAACTTCGGTTCAAGGTTTCCTGTTAACTACCTTTAAACACCTAACATATTGTCATGTGCATGCTAGTATGTAAATCACCACATATTACAGTCAATTTCATTTGATGTTGAAAGCAAACACGATTGAAATTAGTTAGTAGTTCCAATATTTCACAGGGAGGTCTGATTTGATCTTATTTGAAGAGAATATTATAGAAATTATCAAACATATGATAGGGAAAAACATTATTTTCGATTATACAATAGTCCAATTATGTCCAGATATAAATCCTTTTTATTTTACGAATGCTAATTGATATAAAATGTGCTTAATTTGAGACATCTGTAGAGATTCATATAACTTGTAGGTGATATGTGTCACAAACTGATCTCAGTTGGGGTGCCGCTGAAAATCAAGAGGCATTGCACAACTGATTCATTCTACTATGGGACTCCTTAGGAATATGCCCTGAAGACCCCACTAAAGATTAAGTCCAAGATTTCAAGGTCCTGATATCAGCACCTAACTATTTAATCAGTGAATTGGCATTCAATGGTATGCTTTTCAATCTTTAATCAACTTGCGATATATCATGATTATCCAGGTGGTTTGTTCACTACAACTTTAAAAAATTCATCTCGAAGTAAATCATTACAGAGCTCAGAACTATGGTTTTTTGTTATAAATTGTGGCCAAGTGAACCCTGTTAATGTATAACGTAACGATACCGCCAATTAGAGAACAGTGAATTATCGATCAGACTAGTGACGCACAAAACACGTATAAGCAGTCTAGAATCCCGATTGGGCCTGCTTCCTGCCTAGCACAGCCAGTTATGTCCAGAACACCAATCTCAGCTTCTGACATATGAAGAATTTATTTCAAACATACTCGGTTTATATACCAACCAGACAGATCACATCGTACCATGAAATAGAAAACAACATTTGTACAAGATTTAGCCAAATGTGACTATGAATGTGGGAGATAGCAATCAATAGACTGGGCATAATTCAAGAATGGTAAATCATATAATAATAGTCTATGGGTCAAAACAAAGCTCATCATAAGAGGGACATGAATATGTATAGTGTAGTTATTGAACAATTATACGATAAAAATATACGCATATTATTGGTCCATAAATAGATCTCAAAAGTTACCATTCATTATGTTTATCGCGACATAACACTTTTAATTTGGGGGTTCTTGTGAAGGTTTATCTAATTTACACGTGGTATTCAAGGTAAATTTACTTAAACTGAGAATGTATTTAAATTACAGTATGTGATGTTACAAAGGTCATTTCTATAACACTACAGTGATCATTTAATTTATGATCAAAGTCAATCATTTTGTCTATTATAAAACTGAAGTTGGGTAGAAATAAAGATGAACTGTCTCGAAAAACATACGTAAATAAGTAAATCATTATCAGTATTTAGTGTGTTGTATTAGTGAAAGGTTGTGATAAATATCTCTAATTATGATAAACAAATACACGTGGCTGTTTTTAATGATGGAAATTTTAGTGTTTAATATAGAAATAATCATGAAAATTAGTTACTATGCTGATGTTCTATTTTATTCAATAATCAATAACTGGACAATGTATAATTATTTACACTGGGTCCTATCAATTCAACTCAATTCATATATATCTGACAGTTTTGATTTTATTTTCTCCTCAAACAAAGTTTTCAACTCAAATGAGCAAATAAAACACTGAAACTATTCAATTTCACAATCATTCATCCCCATAGTGACTTTTCAGAGGAAGAAAGAAAAGGATCAAGTGAATATAAGAAAATGGATAATTATGATCTTCTACAGATATATATTTTTCTATGTATGGATGTTTATGTTATGTACTTTCATGGTTTCTCTGCTAGTCTACATGACTCAAATATGATATTCCGAAACACTTTTCGTATTACTTTCTATATTGTGTTGTAAAGTTAATCTGCCCACAGATCTGCTGGTACGACTGAAGGCAAATAGAGTCCTCTCTGCCTCTCAAAATGCTCTCACATAGTCACGCGTGTATAGCCACTGCCAAAGAAGTCCTACTCACTGCCTTGTCTCAGCGGGGATATTGTTTAGGTAATTAAGAGGATGAGAAACAAATGTTGGTGAGTACGGAGGATTCACCTGGAGGAGTTGGAAAACTCTAATTTTGAGATGGTAGAGAAGATTTGTGGCTCAGGTGGATGATTATGATGGAGTTTTGTTCTCTGAGCTGGGTGGTTTGGTCGTAGAGCTTTCATTGTTACTCTGAGCTTCAAGTAGACGTTTATGCTGATGATGACGTTCCGAATAACGATGAATGCACCACGACCGAACCATCCAGCCTAGAGAACAAAACTCCATCAAAACCCTGATGCCAACCTGTAATATTCTAGCGAAGATTAAATTATGGGTAACTTCAGGGCTGTTATTATAGATACATTCATATTCCTTTTATTATAAACTTCTATTTGACCTATTGATTACTTATTTTACGACTTACGATTCTTAAGTTATTTCCAATTTATTAGCTGCAGTCTCTCAAAATCACAGATACTTTTTGGGTTGATCTTGTATACTTGTTACTTTCCATTTTGTGGTGTGATGCCGTCTGGTTTGTCTGTATATAAGCTAAGTGTGTCTGAAATACATGATTCATACAATGGAAGCTGATATTGGTGTTCTGGACAGAACAGACATGGCTAGATGAAAAGGACCAATAAGGACTACAAGCTGCGCGTACGGGCCAACGCGTTATTGGCTTAGCACAACACTAAGATTGCATAAGTCGTGTTCTGATTGGCGATTTGGTCATGTGATAGTTAACAGACCACAAGTTATGACATAAACCATTGGTGCAAATGGGCTCCAGGATCATGAGGAAACAATTGGCGTATGAATCTATTGTTGGTTACCGGTTATCATGAGATTCCATTTCCTAATGTTGCTCTACTGCCTTGTGGTTTAGATGTCTAGGTCAAAGACCTGATGACCGGTTTCCACAGAAAACCATCTGCTTCAGTTTGGTCACCCAGTCAATATCCCAGCCCTAACACAACTTCTGCGTTGCCCATATATATTTCGGTGTACTTTTGTACCAATGTTTATGTGTTTAAATAAGTAATCTGATTACACAACTGGGTTTGTCTAAGAAATATGTGCGAAATTCAGACGGGGATTTATAAACATTGGAGTTAGATAGAACTTAATAAACAACACATTTTAAGATAGAAAAGACGACATGAAAAATAAAAAAGACGGAGAACTTTGTCTACACATTTAATTAAATCAGGAAGTATTCCGCAATACAACTTACTTGGCACATTCTCTTCGTTGTTTTTTATCACATTGATTACAGAATTTCGCAGAATCACATGACTGTGGAGTTTGTAGATTTCCACAACTGAGTAACACGGAATCGTCACTGTTTCTAGTGATTTGATAACTGTCTGTAATGATTGAATTACTCGGAGAAGTTTGTTGAGACTGTTGTGTTTGATTGGTAACATTTTTGTCAGAATCGTTAAAGTTTCTACAAAGTTGTGAACGACATGTCCCTTCTGCTACCTGTAAAAAAATGTGAACTAATGAAAACTGACGAAAATGATCAAGTTTGTCCATAGAATTATAATTAATTGAAAGCTCTACCGATCGATGCGGATAGCTGAAAATACACTGATTGGCCATTGGATGGTTATCAATGACATGATTGACTCGTCCTTTAATATGATTGGATTTTGTTAATAAAGTTACAATGTTAACACTAAATTAGGTGACTCAACATTGTGGTTCACTTTATTTCACGTTAACTGGTTGTTAGACGCCACGCGACGAAAGCCCTACTTGACTTACATTCTGGACTAGTCAGCCCTCGTCAGTAAGGTGTACTTATAATATTAAGTGAACTGATGCTTTGTATGAAATCCGAGTCCACATCGCTCAATGTCATAGTCAAAGGTGTTACTGTAATGAACGAAGATTTAGTGAGAGTAAACCAATTTATTGTATTAAGCAATATCACACTGTATTTGTAAAATATGAAAACATTACATTGAGTACACCATTTACACATCTTCCTTGAATGATCGCTTACAAGTTTCATCATGCTTTTATTCCTGTTGATAGTCAGACTTTTTCTGTTTTCATTTCTCTTCACCTCATGTTCCGCTTGTCAGAATCCTACTTCCAATTCTCGATACATACTACTTATATCTGTCTACATAAGTAGCACACATCACATTACTACTGTCATTCAGGTCGAGATTGAGATATTTGCGCTAATCGCTTACTAGAGGGATAAAAGTGTTAAGCGTTCAACATTATCAACAACAAAGAAAATGTTATATGTTTTAGTTAGAATCATCCTAATAACATAATTCTCGTTTACTTAAAGGTTGAATTAAAACAGAAATTTATAAGCAATATGATTGACTTGGATTATTAGATCCATTCGTTCTAGGGGATGACAAGACGCGCTGCATATAGTATAATTCACTGATCAAATTACAGATGTAATTATTGAGAGAATTATTTTGATATTCTAAACCAATACTATGAAGTAGTGAATATATTAAACTACTGTCTTTTTTCAAACGTGACATGAACATCATTGTTTAAGGAAAAGTGTGGAACACAAATTGTTGTCATAAAGGTCTTATTGATGTAGAATCAGTCTACCAGTCAGTTGTTTATAGACGATCTAAGACCTGGCATGATTATAGATTAGTACAAGTAGTCAAATCATATATATATATATAAATATATATATATATATATATATATATATATATATATATATATATATATATATAATTTGAAAAGAAAGAATTTAACAGGGGGATAAGTAGTATGAAATCATATAATAACTCGAGAATGAATGAATTCACATAGATGAGACCGGTTCTGAACTATGTTGCTGTCTGTAATCTGCAAACACTGATTATATGTGTCCTAAACAAGAACATTTTCACCTTCCAATACAATTCAAACTACCAATCAAAGATATCATGGACTGATATTATGCCTCGTTTGGTCGCTCTTAACTATTTATCAATCTACGTCCACAACAACTAACAATTTGTGACAAGGGAGGCGGCGTTTGCTGTATAATTTATTAAACATGCCCCATCCGCCTCGACCTACAGAAATCCATCGTCTCATCAATCGATTTCCAAAGTTAATCTAGTACCATACGGTTTACTTTAGCGATGTTCACTTGTTAGTTTCATCAGCATGCATGAGTTATGCGTCGGAGATATTTAAAATCAAACACTGGTTACCTTTATGCATGTCCTCTACTTTCAAAGGTGATGGAGTTTCACAATCATAAAATAGGAGATAGTAAATAAACACTGATAAAAATGTTCATAGTAAGTAGAAAAATACGAGTGAGAGAACGTGAAACAACAAAGTCACTAATACCAAGTCGAATTCCACAAGGAGCACCAGTTTCTTCAAGACTGTAGGGTATATCTTCCTGACAAGGGCCAACTAGCACGATACCTAGGTAAAACTGTTTCTAATCATCTAATATTAGTGACAATAATAATAATATACGATAACTTACATCTGATGATGCTTTAATCTCATAACAATCTTGTACAGGAGCACCAATTCGTATAAAACTGATTAAACAGGCTAAAGTACCAGATGCATTAACTATCAAAACTACGATTGATATAATCAGCTGAATTTTTATTCAAACAAGAAAACAAAACACAGTGTTAAGATATGTTTCAATGGTAATTGAAAAAAGAGAATAAAAAATTGCAAACATTATCTCATAAACGGTGGTGAAAGATAAATGATGCCATTTGTTTTTACCATAGATTTATGTGTTAGTTACAGTACTACTGAAATGACTGTTTAGCATTAGTTTACAATGAATAAATAATGCTAATGAGCATTATGTATCATGAATTGACTGAGGTTACTAGGTGTAAACTATGGTGATTAAGACACAAAATGATCGAAACGTATTGCAGTGGCCATTAAAAGACTCAAAAATTCTCAGTTCTCAGGTTTTCGGATGGCAAAGAGAAAGCTATTGCACATGCTTCCAGAACGTTGACTTCGGTGGAACGCAAGTATAGCCAAGTTCAAAAAGAAAGATCGGAACTAACTTTTGCGTTTAAAAAGTTTCACAAAGCGCTGCATGGCAGAAAATTTACCTTATTCACTGATCATAAATACTTACTATCGATTTTTGGATCCAGGAACGGTATACCAGTTTATGCTGCAAACCGCCTTCAACGATGGGTTATAATGCTGTTGGGTTGTGACTTCGCCATTATAGCGCTTAATGAACGATCACAAACTTGAAAAAGGAGATAGTGTTGTTACTTCTGTATCAGTTAAAAATATGTAGGCAGCATATTGGTAAATGCAACGCAAATTATTCCAGTGAAAGCTGCTCGAGACGCTGATCACACTCGAAGTGATGCTATCTTAAAATAGCTAGCCACTTATCCGACATGGCTGGTCCCACGTGTAACATCTCATGTAATAAGACAATATTGTAGTGAACGAGAACACAAAGTGGGAACAACCAAATGTATTTTAACACGAAATTACAGAGTTATTTGATAAAATGTAAAAACCATACGTTCAATCCTTCGTTTGCAAAACGTCCATTAATTGTCTCAGACTTTGTTGTTCATTCATTTCCGTACCCATTACTCTCTGTTCTCATTCTCTTCCATTCGATCTTTCCAACCTTCTGCTACTAGGTTTTTCACTTTCTATTGGTGTTACATACTACTTATATCTGTCGACATAAGTAGCATGCACCGCAATATTATAAACAAATTCAAACGCTATTCATTGTGAATGACTGCATTATGTTTGCTAATCGCGTGGTAGTTCCAAATAACCTGGGCATACTCTTTCTGCAATAACTGCACACAGCTCATGCAGAATAAAAATATGAAGCGGTCACGAGAAATATCGATTCTATCAAGATTTTAGATACACTATTTTGATAAGCATTAATTAGCATGAAAATAAGATTCATGAGCCCCTACAGATTTTCCCCAAACATCTATGATTGTAATCGATACTTAACTAGCGATTACTATCTAGGAATTAGAGAAACAATTATCTAGAGACATTCCACTTACTTGATTAGTACCACACTGAAAAATCGGATCGATATCTTTCACCATATGACCAAATGATGTTAATAGTAGTAGACCAGTGACAACTGCAGGTGTTCTACAAATAAACATTAACCAATACAATAATCTTCACACATCGAATAATTGTAAATTCGAGAGTAAGCGCAAAATAAGTTTACGATCAAATGGTAACAGGATGAAATTAGATGAGCAGAAATCGGATCAAGATATGACTGAGGTCTTCAATAATCAGTAACTAATCAAACTGATTTTTTTAACGTATACTGTAAGATACATAGGATTTATACCCAGAACACAATAGAGCAGAAGGCAAGCAAATCATAATTGAAAACATAGAAGTTATTCAAATGATTCGATTTAAATGAGACTTTCAAAATGCATACGATATACATCGTTCAAAAAAGACAATTATTAAACTAAAGATCTATATGTCGCTATTGAGTAGACGACATACATTCATAGAATACATACTCACATCTCATTTCCACAAGATAGATGAAATTTGGTTAATACGGATATTGATCAACAGAAGAACGAATAGTTTGACAAAACTTGGTCGCCAGGAATAGAGAAGTTATTGTATGTAAAAACTATATTTGAAATAAACTCAGTGATTGGAAATCCAGAACAATTCCAACATTTCATTCAGCAAACTTGTCTGTACTTCTTCAGGGTGATAATCAAAATCATCAAATATCTAGCACTTAACAATCAAATCAAATCTATACTGTGCTAAGCCAATCATATTTGGATGTTGACCTTAGTAAACAGAATAACATAAGTCATGTGGAAAGTTCACGATGTGAAAATAAATGACTGAACAAATTGAGTGTGTACGTATGTGTAAGATTGAGTTATTAATAGTTAATACAACGTGTTAGTATGCTTTTATATGAAGGGAAGAGCAAAATAAAAGTGCAAGGTGAAGGTTGAAAAATTGTTTCTGAATCATTGATGTGCATGTAAAATGAAAAACATCAGATACCGATAAGTCCTGGATTCGAATCCCGCGAGTGGGATTGTGGATGCGCCTTGTTAAAGAGTCCTATACAAGGACGAAACGGCCGTCCAGTGCTTCCAGGTTTTCCATGATGGTCTAACTTTAACTGACTCATCAATTCAACTACTAACTTGCTAAAATCTTCAAAAAAACCCTTCTGATAAAATACATAATCGTATTGTTAAAAATAACCCACATTAATTTCAGTCAGAATAACGATGCACGTGAAATAAACAGGTTGGATAAAGAATGGGTCCAATTACTTGTTAACGAATATTTGCCAAGTAGTCGTTAATTGAATACCATCCTTTCGGTCCAGACTGTTCTTATTCGCCCATATATACAGCGCTTCTGCTGTCAATCTTTCTTTATGAGTGTTAAAACCTTTCTGAAGTATTTTGGTCCCTTTAAAATTAATCTTGTGTTCTGTTTCCAACGCATGTAACGCTATCGCCGACTTATTCTCAAGTTTATTTAGGTCGACCGGGGATCTGGGGACATTTTTCAAACATTGTTTGTCTTCCTTCAACTTCACCTTCGATTGTCTGGAAGTTTCTCCCACATAAGCTGCATTACAATCATGACAGTTGATCTCATAATCAATATTCTGTTGTTCTTCCTTTGGGAACCTATCCTTAACTTTCACTAATGCTGATCGTATGCTGTCACAAGTCCGAAGATACACTCCTATGTCATGCTTGTTTAGAATCCTCTTGGTTTCTTCCGATGCTTTACTAGGGTGTGGGATGACCACAGTGGACTTCCAATCTTTCGATATACATTCTAGTTTAGTTTTTCTTTCATTTCTAATAACCCTCTTTAATAATTCTTTGGGTGTAGTTGTTATCCCTGAGTGTAGACGACACTATATTCAATTAAACCTGTTGGTCTGCCTAATCTCTAACGAAATTCAAATGTCATCTACATACCGTAACCAGATGTCTGGTGGACATACTCATCTTGTGATTGCACTGGTTTCTACGGGATGTATGGATAAATTCGCTACAATAGGAGAAACCGGTGAACGCATTCCTATACCTTCTTTCTATCTGTAAAGGTCTCGAAAGGTGAATAAGGTAGATCGTAAAGATAATTTCAAACATTTGTAACTTCGGATGGATCTAATGGGCATCGCAAAGTCTGAGTCAGATTTGAATTTCGTTAGTGATTAGGCAGACCAACAGGTTTAATTGAATATAGTGTCGTCTACACTCAGGGATAACAACTACACCCAAAGAATTATTAAAGAGGGTTATTAGAAATGAAAGAAAAACTAAACTAGAATGTATATCGAAAGATTGGAAGTCCACTGTGGTCATCCCACACCCTAGTAAAGCATCGGAAGAAACCAAGAGGATTCTAAACAAGCATGACATAGGAGTGTATCTTCGGACTTGTGACAGCATACGATCAGCATTAGTGAAAGTTAAGGATAGGTTCCCAAAGGAAGAACAACAGAATATTGATTATGAGATCAACTGTCATGATTGTAATGCAGCTTATGTGGGAGAAACTTCCAGACAATCGAAGGTGAAGTTGAAGGAAGACAAACAATGTTTGAAAAATGTCCCCAGATCCCCGGTCGACCTAAATAAACTTGAGAATAAGTCGGCGATAGCGTTACATGCGTTGGAAACAGAACACAAGATTAATTTTAAAGGGACCAAAATACTTCAGAAAGGTTTTAACACTCATAAAGAAAGATTGACAGCAGAAGCGCTGTATATATGGGCGAATAAGAACAGTCTGGACCGAAAGGATGGTATTCAATTAACGACTACTTGGCAAATATTCGTTAACAAGTAATTGGACCCATTCTTTATCCAACCTGTTTATTTCACGTGCATCGTTATTCTGACTGAAATTAATGTGGGTTATTTTTAACAATACGATTATGTATTTTATCAGAAGGGTTTTTTTGAAGATTTTAGCAAGTTAGTAGTTGAATTGATGAGTCAGTTAAAGTTAGACCATCATGGAAAACCTGGAAGCACTGGACGGCCGTTTCGTCCTTGTATAGGACTCTTTAACAAGGCGCATCCACAATCCCACTCGCGGGATTCGAATCCAGGACTTATCGGTATCTGATGTTTTTCATTTTACATGCACATCAATGATTCAGAAACAATTTTTCAACCTTCACCTTGCACTTTTATTTTGCTCTTCCCTTCATATAAAAGCATACTAACACGTTGTATTAACTATTAATAACTCAATCTTACACATACGTACACACTCAATTTGTTCAGTCATTTATTTTCACATCGTGAACTTTCCACATGACTTATGTTATTCTGTTTACTAAGGTCAACATCCAAATATGATTGGCTTAGCACAGTATAGATTTGATTTGATTGTTAAGTGCTAGATATTTGATGATTTTGATTATCACCCTGAAGAAGTACAGACAAGTTTGCTGAATGAAATGTTGGAATTGTTCTGGATTTCCAATCACTGAGTTTATTTCAAATATAGTTTTCATATTTAAAGAATTTGGTCTATATTGAAAGATTATGTCTCACTGGGCATTTATTCCGTTTATCAAAGAACCACTACAAACGTATAATATTTTCTTACTATTCACTGACTGATTTGTTTAAATGTATGCGCTGTACAAGTCGGTTATAAGTAGCCTGATCAGCTCAACAGAAAGGTGTCTGTTTGTGATGCATCGTTAGGATCACACAAGGAGTATTATTCTCCTGTCAGGTATGTCAAACTTTAGAACGATGCTTGTTGTCACGTGCTTACAAAGTCATCTCACAGCTACGAATGTTATATTCTAATCTTGATTCCTTTTTAAGTATGCTTCTTAAAAAACGTGGTCAGACAAAATGAACAGTACTTTTCAGTTAGAATTTTCAATCAGTTACTGTTTCATTTAATGAATAGCTAGTTAAATATAAGTAAGCAAATTCATAGAAAACTTTAATACAATTCATACAAAGATGGGTTTCATCAAAGAAATTTGATCGATTGGATAATATATACCTTTGTCTTTGAAAAGAAACATGCAAAGCTAAACACTATGCGTTCAACGAGACAAGAACTGACTAGACGATAATCAAGTTTAAAGAGTCTTAGTGACTTTATGTTACCAAGAAGAATTGCACAACTGTTTCATTAAAAATAAAGGATTCCTCAACAGTAGTTTCCATTCAAAACTACTCTACTACACATATAACCGAAGATTACTGACGCATTATTTTTAAATTGTTGAAATGAAATCATTTAACGATTTACAATTCCCGATTATTTTTTCTGGTTGTAACGTAGCTTCACTGTTGTGAAACTTATTGAGTTCACAATATCACTGACTTCACTTCATCATTTTCACAGTATTATTATATATTCTAATCAATATCCACCTATTTTATAGATGACTTCAAAGTAGTAATTTTAAATGAGGGAATCACAAGTAAGAATTGTTACAATGTAGTGTATGATACTTATGTATGTCAATATAAGTAGTATGTAACAGCAGTTAGAAGTGGAATGTCTGGCAACACAATGTTGGGAAGATAGAATCAAAGAGAACGCAAATAGAGAGTAATTTTTGTGCTAATTCATGGAATATTTGCCAATGAAACATTTCATGTATGGTTTCTATATTCTATCAAGAAACTTTAATTTCTCACAAAAATAGATTGGTTGTCTCCACCTATGTGTTCTCGTATATTACAACAATATTAAAATGTAGAATACTAAACAGTCGATAAGCCTATAAACCATCATGGAAATCAGCGTCTATTCTGTGTTATATTGACTATTACAGGAGTAGATTATAATAATAGAGATTATAAAAACAGATAGATCAAGACAATATGACATCAATTTATCAACAAGTTCCATTATACCAATAAAAATCGATAATCATATCAGTATTAAATAGAAATCTAAACACTGTGTTATATGGATATTTGATTAATGATAAAGAAAATTCAATAAATAAGTTTCATTTTCAATTATACATTTATTAATGATAATAAATTTGTTTATATGAAAAAAAAACAAAAAAAAAATTTACTTCATAATCAATCGATATTAAGGATTGATTCATTGTGTTCTAATCGATTATATAGTTTATATGGTTTGTTAAGAATAATTATTTTCAAAGAATTTTCAATGATTGATAACAGTTAAAGAAACACTATTGATAAATCATTCGATTTATGTGAGGGCTGAAATACTACCCGAGTGCCCAAATCAAGGAAGGTGGTTTTCTTAGGAGATCACACTTCGAGCCTTTGACCTAAAGGTCTATTCCACAAAGCAGTGGGACAATGTCAGCAGAGGCAGTCCCATGGTCGCCGGTGACCAACAATATGTTCATATGCCATTTGTTTTCTTAGGATCCTGGAGTCTCTGTACGCCATTGGTTTGAAATCAGGATTCTCTATATCCATACATTTATTACGTGAGGATATTTTTATTTATTTAAACACTGAGTTGGAGTTCCGGAATGAACATCAACTTTGGAATGCAAGTATATCCAACTAAAGATGAGTTAGAAATACGAAGAAACGTGCATTTTAGATTCCGCTACTAGCTGACACAATCCTTCTATTCTATATCACATTCAACATTGTTTATAACTGATTGATTTGTTGGACAAATGTTAAATTATTCTATAAGATTATTGATTGTCAACTGTGCTCAGTTCTACATTAACCATCAACATAAAACCAACAATACTCAGGTTTTTCATAACGTATGAACTAGATATAATTCACTTACAACTTGAATTCAATTATGCTATATACTAATTAACTGACTAACTAACTAACTAATTAAACATAACCCGAGAGCGATTTTGTGGATATTATAGTAATTTAATAATTGAATTCATGAGTCAATTGAAGCTAGACCACCATGGAAAACCTGAAAGCACTGGACGGCTGTTTCGTAGGTGCGCACTGCTGAAGAGTCCCATACTAGGACGAAACGCCCGTCTAGTGTCTTCAGGTTTTCCCTTGTGATCTAGCTTCAATTGACTCATGAATTCAACTATTAAATTACATCAATATAATCTAATTTTCGTTAATTATTGTTTATTATTATTATTAAGAATGATCATGATTTATGGTTGAGAAAATTATTTGATAATTTATATGTTTACACAAAAACTTCCAAGTTCACCTTGATTGTTACAAATATCTCTGAATACACTGATATGTTCTCTACAAAAAAAGTTTTATTTAATTTAAGGTAAAACAGTATATTTCACATAGAGACTAGATAGAAAGTAGTGTAGTAAACAAGAAGTGGTGTCTAGTAGTAGTAGTAGTAGCGTAGTGGTATTTGTGAATAGGAGTATATAGGTGCAACACTGTGGGCTTAGGCAAACAACCAATCAATCAACTATTCAATTGATCATGAAACACTTAAATTAAATAGAAAGTGCAAATTCAATAAATTTACATGGTTCATTGAAAAAAGCGAATTATTTACACAATCTGTAGAAAAAATAATGCAGACAGTTACGCCAGTATTTAAAACGGATGGGTTTGTGCGAAAAAAAAACGAAAGAGAAATTAGACAAAAATAAAGATCATTTCATACAATGTGAATTAAGAATGTAAACAAATCGGTAAATCCCATATGACATAAAAATCTATCAATGTAGGAATGTATTGAGATGTAAGTTAGTGAACTACTGAACCACTGACAATATCCATAGTTGGTCCGATAAAGAAGTATAATAAATTTCGATGGTTGAGATCATGAGTTAATTGAAGCTAGACCACCATGGAAAACCTGGAAGCACTGGACGACCGTTTCGTCCTATTGTGGGACTCCTCAGCAGTGCACATTCACGATCTGTCGGAATAGATGAAGAAACTCAATAGGAAATAAGACAAACCATAGTACGGAAAGAAGAAAGATAATACCCAACTAACTTCACAAGAACAAAAAGCCTTAAAGAAACTCAGAACTAGAGAAGATATTGTCATAGTCATTGTCATATATTGATAGACTGTAACTCCGAATGATGTTTAATCACTGGAGATAAAAAGTCGATGGACTCTATTTAGGGTTCAATGAAAGTTTAATCTATAAAATGACTAAGTACAGTAACAATGAAAAACCATAGGGTTCTAAAATAAAAACTGGATGAAATAACGTGATTTTGGATCGGAGCTCGAAGATTTTGAAATTGATACTCTGTACACACTCATGGATGAATGAAAATAATCTCAGAAATCAATTATATGATAAAACAATCTATCTGGTGTTCTTCATGGCTTTAAAATTATTCTAATTAATCTCATCAAATGTCATAGAAAGCAAAACAAACAAACTTTGTTCATTCCAACTTTCATTATACACGTACAAAAATCTGTATTTCTTAATATTCGAATTATTAAAATCAAGGTACATTTGATAATGATCACATAAACTATTAATCAAAACAAAATTAAAAAGGAAAGAAACCTACAAGAAGCCAACTAAGTAAATGTGCAATTGATATCGCAATACAAAGCATAGACTACGTGCACGTTCCATAACAAGAACTAATGCGATTAATGTGGTCCAACAACGTGTACCCGTAGAACCAAAAAAGAGTATTGAAAAATGTATGTAATTTAACCAACGTGCTGGTTGACTCAATTTTCCACCTAATTTTAAGTAAAAAAATGAGGAAATCATAGAAGAACTCATTAAATAGAAAGATGGTAGAGAATAATCAATTTGTAATATACAAATAATGCAGAAAAAGAGTACAGCCAAGAATATATTACAGTGAATAAATATTGCAACAAATATTATTCTAAGGCATGTGAATCGTTTTTATGCATGACTACAATAGTCAATGCATTAATATAATTCATTTGTAACATGAAATCTCACGTATCCAGCTTTAAATGAGGGCTACTAATGTTAGACGGCTATCTATATCGAAATACGTAAAGTGAAATTCCGACCTGAAACTTATTGTTTGGAAGTCTGATGCTTTACTCAATAAGCCACAGTGATTGATATGGGCTAATATATTCCTCAGTTTTCAATTATTTAAGAAACTGATCGAGAAATCTAACAATCTTTCCCAAATCACAACCAACCAACATTCATAGATATAGGTAAAGCCACACCGTATCTTGTTCCGTTCAGTCATGATTCAGAGTATTACTCCACTACATGCTTCACATCAAGAATCTTGGTGAAAAATCCACTGACAACCAGAAAGCATCAGGAGAATGTTTCGTTCCACTATGGCACTCCTCAGAAGTACGTTTTTACGATACCGCTGAGGGTCGAACACAGAACTTTCAGATCTGGAAGTGAGTATTTGAATTCTACAATGAACCCGCATTCTGTGAGGACGGCCCACAGGTGAACTCAAGGAAGATCAAAAAGAGCCGAAGACATTCCATCCAGTCATCATTTGGAAGAACATTTCAGAACTGGACAGAGGCTAAAAACCACTGTATGCGGATTTGATGACTATAATGATGATTTGGCTTTTACTAAAAAATATAAATACCTGAGAGTTTTGTACCATATTTGACACTGTTGGAATAACATTCCTTCTCAATCATCTGTCTTCTCATTTGAGACTTGGAGGGTTCTAGCGTTCGAGTGCCCAAGTATTACGCGGTATAGCAATAGTCTAAGCTCTAGATATAACACATACAATGGTTTACACTTTTAAATTCAATCAAACCGCGATATTGTTCAATCATTTTCGATATATACATAATGCACCTTGACTAACTTGGTCCATTCAGGTTCACAACAATAACGAAACGAACATATACTCATATTTCTTGACAAAACACAATTTACACCAGCTGATCATATCATGTTTATCTAATCCCTAGCGGTGACTGAATTCTATACAAACATGAGATTAAGAGACTACTTCGCAACTAAGTGCTGTAAATATTTTAGTCTTATAGGTCGGTTAAGACACAAATAACTTCTTGATCACTAAATGTGATACTGAGTGATGCTAGTTCAGTTCCTATGGGGAGCATCAGTTCTTTCAAGATTCCAGGTATATCTCTATGACAAGTGCCACCTGGATAAAACAGAGCTCCATTTCAACGATTGCCTACAGCTAGCTTATAAGTTTGCCAATTACAAGTATGAGTATAACATGTTATATATTCTAATCAATGTTCAATAAACAATAACACGATTTTCCAAAATTTAATAATTTGCATAACAAACCGTTTAGACTTTCTTCAATACCATAATAATAATAATTTACGAAACGACCAAGTAATAATCCAGTACAAGCGAATAGCACACAAATTAAATGACATAATGTGAATCGATTAGGAACTCGAATAGCTTTCCGATTAACAAAAAGCAAACCCAATGTCCAAATCTAGTAGTTTTAAAATGAACAGTCAAAGCAAGTTAGAGATTTTTACTTTAAAAAACAAACAAACACGATACTTTAGTTTATACAAATAGACACAGAAAACGTTTAAACTCAAATTATTCCCAGTGTTTTCAATTTTTAAGATGTATGTTGTTTCTGACAATTTCAGTCATTTTTTTGAATATTGAAGTGCAATTTTCCTTAAGGTTTTCACTTCAACCGGGTGAAGTTGTCTTTAACTGTCAGTGTAGCACAATCGAACATGCCGGATGAAAAACATAAGTACAGTGGAAGTTAGGGCATAAAAAGGGACCTCTAATGATGATTATACCCTAATATCCGGCACTCACCCATATAAAAGTGGTTCCGTATACAACACATATGTTGGAGACTGAAAACGGAACGAATAACTTTAGTCGATTCTTGAAGAACGCTGAAAGCAGTTCAGTTGAACCAACAAAATATTCTGAACAAACAATTTTCTAGGCTCTACATTTTTCATTGGTAATATTTAGGTGGTTTGGTAACGTTTAAAGACAGATTTTATTCACATGTTGATAACAGATAACTATAAAATTAAGAACAAAGGAGTATTGGATGTCTGCTTTGTTCTAGTAGCCGGTACATACAATTATCTCATAGGTTACTGAATTCAAAACCTTTAGGTTCAATGGAGAGGATGATACACATACACTTTAAAGTTGGTATCCACATTTCCCAGCTTGACTTCACGTATTAAAACTTTTCTCGAAACATTGAGGAAAAATTATCAAGTAGTTAATCAGTAATAAATACGGAGTTAGTCAAGAACCTTGAACTAATCTCTGCAAATGACTTAATTAAATATTTAGTCTTCACTTGTATTTCTAAGATCATTTCTTAAGTCAGATTCGCTATCTTTAATTTTTCATACCACTACTAACACCGTTAATGCATATGTAGTACTCCACCACCTCGCTATGCCGTGATACAGAGTCTTGAACTGACGCACATACGTACTAGGTTCCTTGTTGTGTATGAATGATTGACTAACATTCAATGTCTATTGAAATGGGTAATGATAAAATCACTGGGCATTTCCTGAATGACATGTGGTCTTTTTCGTGAAGTAGATGGGTCTTTGCAAATAGCTGGCATATATCTTAGTATTGCAAATAAAAAAATTCGGATAAAATACCATTTTGACAACATACAAACAAAACTGATTTGTAAACTTACACAGCACACAATACTAATCCAAGAAATATCTTCAACAGTTGCACCAAGTATACTTGCATAATCACTTGGTTCTGCGTTGTACAATGTAATAATACGAGCAAAAATAAACATAATTGGCACACATAGGAATGTTCCCAAGACAAGACCAACACCGATCTGTACGTGTATATCCCAACCATGCACATCATTTGATAATGTAACGTGAAAGAAATAATGAATAATAACAGATGATTAGAGTGACCGTGGAAGAATAAATTTTATTAATTCTAACAAATATATCGTGGAGTCGAAAGTATGCATGATCATGTGCTGGAGATTTACTTTACCCTATATATTATTCACTATTGTGATTTTGGACAACCGCATCGTAACAGTGGCTTGATGACTTTGAAGTAGCAAGTCTGTATTTTCAGGGATAATGTAAGTCTTTAAAATTGACAAGCTTTAGTTATATATTGGGTCTTAATCATACATCGAACAGACAAATATACAGTTAAGGTATCCGTTCTGTGCTACTCTTTTAGGATTATGAGACGTAACTGTCAAGATTGCCTGAATACGATCACATTTATGTGATCACGCAAACGTTTGAAGGAGAATAACAGTGGTGTGCAAGAGAGATAATCAATTTAGGGTTAAAAGTTAAGTTTAATAGAGAGAAATTAAAGGGTGTTTTATATTAAAATCATGAAATAATCAATGTTCAATCATCATCAAAAACCTGAAAGAATCAAACGGTCGCTTCGTTCTAGTACGGGATTCCCTATCAATGCGTATCCACGATCACTCACACGAGAATCGAGTCCAGCACCTCCGGTCTCACACGAACACTTAACTTCTAGATCACTGAGTCGGCAACCACTGGGTGTTAATGTTTTACTTCAATCAATCCGTGATATTACACAACAATCTTCCATTGTTATTGTTGGTAACTACCTCACACTCGACACTGTTGAATTCCACTGAACATGACTTTTCACTAAAACTGGGGATTTCCTCTCGAAGCTACTTACTCATAGGCACATGAACAGATCATTTTACCAATTATACTGATTGATGCAATTGTCTTATATATTACGAGTTTATAGTCAATGTCTAAACCAAAACGCCGGAATAGAGTAGACCGATAAATTCGAGCAATTTATGAAGCCAATGAATGTTGAGTTAATCGATGTAAGCTTTATAGTTGTAATGAAAATTAATCATGCCTTGGATGGACTTGGTGTTTAATTTCACCAAGCTGCTATAACTTCATGATTAAGTATCAAGTTCATTTTCCATTATTATTATTATTATTATTATTATTATTATTATTATTATTATTATTATTATTATTATTATTATCTGTTTTATCAAAGAACGTTATCTAGAAGAGATAAGTGACTTAATTAAATTCTCTCGGTTTACAGCTAATAATCAATCATAGTAGTGCAGATGCATTAATTCGTTTGTCCTATTTACAATTCTTATTTTATAAACTCATTTATCTTTTTCATATAATATTCTCATTGTTAATCTTTTTCAACTACTACTGATACTATTACTACTTCTAAAACTGATGTTTGTCTTCATAATTTCATCCCATTTTTCTTGCACATGCTGTGTAGCAACTTGAACCGATCTACATATTTACCCGATTTTCCATTGCTTATAACTAGCTCTCCATTTATTACAAATGAAAAGATAAACACAGTAGGAATTAGTCATGAATTGAACAGTGCAAAAGTAACTGTTTAACACACATGCACAGGACAACACAGAGTATTTGTGTATAAAAGTGCATCGATTTATAGATGATAAGAAGAAAAGAACAAAACGGCAACAGAATTGAATGGAATGAAGTGATATTACATTATAATTTGTCATCACTTTATTGAATGGAAATGCACTTTTTTGTACTGTATAGAATATTGACACACATGAAAAATAAGAGGTGAAATAATAGAGGAAGAGTACAGCAATAGTTTATGCCTGTATCATCATACATAATAAGTATTTTTCTTTTTTTTTTTTACAAATATTTGTGATGTGTAGCAGATCTCTGTTATCACATGACTTCGTGATTTGTTTTATCGTTTGGACAAAACCGCTTCATCTTTCCATTTATCCTATCACGCACATGTTTACACACGTACGTATGCTAATACATGTGCGTCCATATGCTTACTTGAATCTCTTTAATGCTTATAAAGACTGAGTCATCCATTATTCACGAAGTTAGAACGTCTGCTTTCTGTAATCCGCCTTTCATCAGTCTCATTAAAATCATGAACTAACCAAGATGTGGACCACCACTGAAAACCTGGAAGCATTGAGTAGGCGCCTCTTCTTAGTACATTACTCCTCAGTAGTGTGCATTCACGATCCCGCATTGAGGGGCCGAACCCATGACATTTGACCTCGCGAGCGAACTCTAGACCACTGAGTCCACATCCAATGCTGTTGATATCTAACCTCAGTCAATGTCATAGATCCGTGTGTGGTGTGAGGTAGTTACCAACAATAACAATGGAAGATTGTTGTGTAATATCACGGATTGATTGAAGTAAAACATTAACACCCAATGGTTGCCGACTCAGTGATCTAGAAGTTAAGTGTTCGTGTGAGACCGGAGGTGCTGGACTCGATTCTCGTGTGAGTGATCGTGGATACGCATTGATAGGGAATCCAGTACTAGAACGAAGAGACCGTCTGATGTTTTTTAGGTTTTTGATTATGGTTTAACACTGATTGATTTACGATTTAAAAAAATTCAACAATCTCCACAACTTTAAACTGAAAAATTTCTTCAGTCTGTCTGAGCACATGAGTGCTTGAAATCAACTCATCCAACATAATTCGTATTTGGCTTTTTTTACAATCGTCACTCAAACAGGGTCAGCCTGTGTAAGATATACGAAATTAAACGGATAATTTATGTTAGTAATTCACTGCTCATTCCTTCCTTCATTATTTATAATGGGATAGTGATCTTGAGTGCTGTTAGGTTCTTTACTCGAACACTACCAGTCGAGTCAGAGCTTATGGCGAACTTTCATTTGATTTTTCAACCTCAAGTGGTGTCCGTGAAAGCTGTACAATATCTCCATTTTTGTCCAACTTCATCATAGACCTACTGCCAGAAATAACGTTCTCGTCGACTGAATTTTCGGGCATTGGTCACCTGCCAGGAGGTTTACTTATCGACTTACAATACGCCGATGATATAGTCCTGTTTGGTGAAGACGCTGATAAAATCCAGTGTCTTTTGGTAGCACTCAGCAACAATGCCAGGATGTTTGCGATGCGTTTCTCCCCATCTAAATGCAAGTTGTTGCTTCAGGACTGGTCTGCGTCAACACCTGAACTAAGGATAGGGAGCGAAGTGGTTGAACGCATCGGCAACTCCACTTATCTTGGAAGTCTGATCAGCCGTAATGGGTTGGTGTCTGACGAAATATCGGCAAGGATTCACAAAGATCGTTTGGCGTTTGTCAAGTTACGTGACCTATGGCGAAGGCGAGATATCTGTCCATCAATTAAGGGACGAGTATACCGCGCTGCAGTTCGTTCTGTTCTACTTTACGGCAGCGAAACGTGGCCATTAAGAGTAGAAGATATTCGTAAGCTACTAGTATTTGACCACAGATGTTTCAGAAATATTGCTCGTATCTGCTTGGATCACCGGGTAAGTAATAGTGAAGTTAGACGCCAGGGTATTAGGGAACGATGGTAAATCAGTTGATGAGGTTGTGAATCTTCATCGATTGAGATGGTTGGGGCACGTGTTGCGTATGCCTGAACACCGATTACCACGGCGCGCAATGCTGACCAGTGTTGGGGATGGTTGGAAGAAAGTTATTGAAGGCCGAACCAAAACGTGGCACCAATGCTTGAAGTCACTAACTTCTAATCTGTGCTATGTTGGTAGATGCAGACTACTTGGTTGGTGTCCGCATGGCTATCATAACCAATGATTGGAATATATTCAATGTATAAATTCTGTAGTAATTACTGTAAAGTGTGATCGATAAACGAACATACCAATGATAAGGTTAAACGCCCAACACCATACTAACTTTCCTTGACCTTGTATGACTAGATCTTGTTTATTCACCAATCATAATTTTATGCTCATTATACAACAACATTCGCCTTGCTGACTCATTTTTCCTATACTCTAGTTACTGTTCGAAACTTTGTAGGAAATTGTTTCCTACAATTACTTCAAGTTTATTCAAACGACGCAGAAGGAAAATATACGGACTACCATGGTGATATTTATGAATTTCTCAGTAATGAGATTCATGATAGATATTCAACATTTTATGAAAGCCATTAAGTACATATGATTGGTAGATATAGTTAGTGTATGAAGACAGTTTTAAGACAAGGAAATTGCTAGTAATTACTGTATGTTTGGAAAAACAACAGGTCAGAAATTTGATCAGGTCTCCATGTCATATCACTTAGCTGTTTAAATTGGAAAGTAGACATTGAGGAAAGGGTTCAAAAACCAGTAACTTAATAGGTTAACAACGAATCTGTCAACTATACTCTATTGGTAAAATGACAGTAAGCAGTTTTTTATACAATGAAGACTAGACATAGTATACATCTATTAATATATAAACTTACGGCCACAGGTATAACTTGATATTCAGCAGCAAATAAGAACACAGGTGGGGCTGTTGGTGTAGTACCATACAAGAAACCAAATGTAGAATAACGTAATGTTTCATTAGCCAATGCAATAGGCATCATTTGAGCAACAAGTTCACGTGTAATAAAAGGAACAATCAAACTATTAAATTAAAGTGTAACAGAAAAGAGGAAAAATTAAACTTGTGGTTTTGTAAACCATCTTTTTTTAAATGAGAAAAACTACTTTAAAGTTTGTAACAATAGGTAAGCTTTTAAAGAGAAAGAATGTATTTGTAAAATCTCAGTGAATGAAGGTGTCTGCCTGCTAAGTAGAAGATTGCGGGTTCGAGTCCCACCGTGGGTGTGAATGCGTAAGCTGGTTTTAAAAGAGAAACCCACATTAGATGTATTGACATTATTTAATTCATAAAATTGAGAAATACATAACTATCATGATTAAGATATAGAATCTGGTGAAGAATTCTACAACGATAACTACTTACTAATCAGTATAAATTACTTCATTTTCTAGGAAGAAATCTAATAAATATCGTTTAGTCAGTCAGTTATATACAACGTGCAATTTCGTACATGTGTACATTGGTTCAAGGTGTCACATTTCATTAGCACAGTCAGATAAAACTGTCAAGGTGAATTTCAGAGTACTAGAAGTAGAAAGGATTAGGTAACGAAGATAAGATTCGAGGAGAAAACATGGATTACTGAAACCAAAAAAAATTAGATGGTAATTTAGAAACTTAGGGAAGAAAAAAGAGTGGATGTACTTGTGCCATTGTGAAAGATTCTAATTCACTGTCATTCAAATCCTCCGACCATTGGTTATTATAATCACGCGGACTCGAACCAGGTACTGAGCTTGTATATACCTACATGGCTCAGTTCAACAGTCAGCGTCTTCATGAACTGATGCTACGTCTTGATTTGACCGTTCCTAGATTACTTCCAACCTATTTCTACACTAGCCATCACCAAGTATCAGGGTAAGCAGTGGATGAGAATACTTAATATATGTCCTAAATATATCAATCCATAAATATAAAATATCTCATCAACCGATTTGTTATCTTTACTTAGTATCATGAGTATGACTTAATATAAAGTTTCTAATTCGCAAAAGTTCACTAATTCACGTTGTAACTATCTTCAATACAGATTCCAATCTAACTTTATTTGACTGGAGTCAAAGTGTGCCCCCAAATGCCCTGGTACCGCCGAGAGTGGGGAGAGTTCGCTCTACCTCTCCAAATACTCTCACATGGCCACGCGTGTATAGCCTCTGCCAAGGAAGTCCTACTCACTGCCTTCACGTGGAGGGGTGTTGTTTACGAAAATGAGAGGACGAAAAGCGAAAGTCCGGCGCTTTAACCGGATCCCAAACCAATGGTCACATGGGCTCCAGTATCCTGAAGGAACAAATGGCGTATGAACCAATCGTTGGTCACCGGCTACCATGGGACTGCGTCTCCTCACAATGCTCCACTGCCTTGTGGGTCAGACGTTCAGGTCAAAGGCTCGGGGTGTGGCCCCCTAAGAAAACCACCTGCTTCGGTTTGGGCACCCGAGCAGTATCACAGCCCTCACACAAATCAATTGAGATTCGTGTGGCGCATATGAATTTGGTGCCTTCGTGTACCAATACCTATGTGTTAAAATAAATAAAATGGAGTCAAAGTGTGAACATTGAAGGTTGGTGATGTTAGTAATGAAAATGACAAATAAGGAAGATTTATTTATATGTTACAAAATACTAACATAGAGTCGATAATTTAGTTGATTTAAAGTAATTGACTTTAAACTAATAGGTTACAGATCCGAATCATGTTTCATTTATTCTAATTCCAGTAGTCGGGTAGTATCACTAATTCTTATAAACAGCGTGGCTCCATGTCAAATGCATTAATCTGTAGTTGATAAATGAATTGCATTAATTAATCATTTACTCACTATTGACCAATTTAGAGAATTCTTGTAGTTTTGGAGAGGAACAGAGGCTGATGGGATTTGTAAAGAGTGAGACAGGTATCATTGACTACAACCGACTATATTTATGAAATATCACGAATTGACTGAAATCGAAAATAAGAAACATTGACTGTCGACTCAGGTATCTAGAATCGACACATTCGATGTGAGATCTGAGGGCATGGATACACACTGTTAATTAGAAGTTCGATACTAGGACGAAACAACCATTCAATACTCCTTGTTTTCAATAATTGTCTAGGTAAAATCCGTTCGTAATGTGAGCGAACTTCAAATTAAACAGCTTCTACAAACCTCCGAATCTATTAATATAGACTACGTGGGAAGTAGACACACATCGAAGAAAGGGAACTTACAGTTTTGTCAATAGGATTGTTGTCAAAATGTAAGCTTCTCTTTGAGTGATGGTAGACATTTTGCCAACCATACTATAACCGAGTGAAAATAAAGCAGTAGCACCGAAGGAGTCAGCTTTCAAAAGAACATCAAAGAGACAAAATATATTTTATAATGGGCCAAGCTTGCATGCAAGATTAAAAATGCAACAAACCTTGGCAATCAGTAACGAAACGGATGACAGACATGAAAAAAAAATCAACTGGAGTAAAACTCTACAGTCATATGAGAATTTTTTAAAAATATGCTTTGAGGTTGGTTCTACTCTTTTTAGGACATTACTCGTCGAAATTGCCATAAATTGGTATTTACCGAAGTGGTTTTTATAGAGATTTTAAATTAGGTGTTGAAAATCGGAGAGATCTGGGTCAGTTTTTTTACGTCTGGGTTAACAGCAGCATAGAAACGAGACGGCATACTGATGGTTCTACATCACAAACTGATTGAAGTTTTTTAAAGTAAGGACTATTGGATTTCGATTGACGAGAAGGCTTAAAATTTTCTGGATTCAGTCTAGTGTTTGTGGAGCTGGGACTCAATAGCTAAAAGCGTTCGACTTTCAATCATTCAACACTAGATATGAAGTTTGTTCCATCTATTTTAACTTGAGCAACTGACAGTATCACTAACTCTCATATGAAGAGTGTGGCTGGAAGCCTAGTACACGAATTTATATCTGATGAGTTTTGTAGTGTAGTTGTTACAGGATGAGGGGACTGATAACGAATCTAAAGTTAAAAAGAAATAGTTGTCCAGTACTTTCTGATTTTCAATGATTCACCAACATAAAAACAAACATGAATAACGGTCATTTGAAACAGAAGCGATTGTACTTCGTAGGTCACCCCTATGCCAGTGAAATGAAGACCCAACTATGAGATTTAATTCTTTTTCATAATATCAGAAGTGAATTAATACTGAATAAGTTTAACTTTTTTTTATTTTAATCTGTACATTATAGAAAAACATGAAAGATTTAGACGTCTAACTGAATGAAGTTGGGGATTTGATCATAGTGATGTTATTTTTAAATCATTGATCGAAACAGCTCTGATCAATTTAATGTAGCAGATGTGCTGATGTACTGAATAATTTACTCATTCCAAAATGAATACTCATAAATCTATCAGTGATGATTTCAACCTGCATTTAAACGAAAGGACAGTTTTGTACTTAGATCGTTCTGATTCATTTAACACACAAATCCGATATCGATTGATATGACTAGGTACTATTTATCTCCACATATTACTCAATACTGAAATACCAAACAACTACTTGGTACATGAAACCTATGCGATATAAGATTGGCTCAAAGATATCGTGTTTGTCATGAGAACTGAAAGTTTTGTATTTAATACCATGTGAGGTAGGAAGGGATCATGCGAGTGAGCACTTATAGTAATGGAGAGTTTCTATCTATCAAAAAATAACAATCTATAGAATATTGATTTCTAATGATACTATAGTTTTTTGATTCTTTTATCTTACTTTAACAAAAATTACGCTCATAAAAAGTAGTAATTTAGAAAAAACAAAACAAACAGGAACCCTCACCTATAACACTGAGCAAGCCATCTATATACACTGGTAAATGGTGCTTCAATATAAAATTAAAAATGATACCAATTAAAGTCATGAAAATTAAAGGATTCTTGAGAACATTGAACATAACCTATGCAATAGAAAGAAATAAGTGGATACATGTAGACAATAATTACAAGAGAATAATAACAGTCATGATAATAACATGTATTCAGTACATTTGCACTGTAGATAGTTCATTCACAAACTTTAGTTAATTATACACTAATCAACGTATGCAAAAAATCAGCATCGATCCAAAAATGAAGCATAAATATCTTTCATTCGTCAGTAAATAACAAATTTCTTGTTGAATAAACCTGGTCGCAATGTAGCTGAAAAGAAATCCATTAAAAATTTAATAATTCCGAGTACTTATGATTAAGTAAGAAAGAGTATGGTGAGCCCCCAAGTGTCCTGGTACGGCTGAGAATGGGGAGAGTCACCTCTTCCTATCCAAATGCTCTCACATAGCCACGCGTATACAACAACTGTCAGGGAAGTTCTATTCATTGACTTCTCGCGCCACAGGTGTTGTTTACGAAATTGAGAGGACGAAAAGCGAATGTCCGGCGACTTAACTGGGTTGGCGGATACGGAAGATCCACCCAGGGGAGTTGGAAAACCCTGATTCCAAACCAATGGTGCACATGGGCTCCAGCATCCTAAAGAAACAAATGGTGTATGAACCAATCGTTGGTCACTGGCTACCATGAAACTGCATCTCCTGACGTTGCTCCACTGCCTTGTGGATCAGACCTTTAGGTCGAAGGCTCGGAGTGTGCACCCCTAAGAAAACCACCTGCCTCGGTTTAAGCACCCGGGCAGTATCCCATCTCTCACACAAATCGAATGATTTATGTGGCGTATATCTATTTGGTGCCTCCTTGTACCAATGTTTATGTGTTTAAATAAATAAATAAAGTCTTTTAATAATGAAAAAGATTTTTGAAATCAATAGAAAAATGGTTTAAAGTAGGCGGAAAGTTTTTGCTGAGTTTTGAAAAAAAATCTTAGTCGTTTATGGAAACAGTGTGCTAAACAGGGTTTGAGTTCTCTAGTTCAAGAAAATCATTACTGATAAAATTTTAAAAGATACTCAGCTCATATTAGTGAATAATTAACAACCAATAATGATAGTTACTATTTATCTAGAATAGATCACAATCAGAATACAATTAGACACTGTGCTATTTCAATCTTCAACGATAGAAGAATTTAAAGTCACACATGTTTAAATACCGTTCCATCAATTATTATTGACAAAAAAGTTCCAAACTCGAGTGCTTCAAGTTGTCTGCTCTATGAAATTCAATTTTTGGAGTAGGATAATGTCAGTAATAAATCAAACTAAGCCTCAAAGCTTAGCAGCATATGAATCTGAATTTAATCGAGTACCAAAAATTGTTTGAAATTATTAATATCAGTGGCAGTTTGATAGTAATCTAGGTTTCATTCGAGTTGATACTTATCAACAACTAGTGTCACTCGGTGTTAAAATAACAAACGTTTCTTTGGAGCTACAACTTACCTCAAATAAAACTAGAATGCTTACAAACTAGTTAATCACAGACTATTAAACTATTTTACACTGGGCAGTCGTTGGTATTATATAGATTCAATTAATCAAATGGTAATATGCCTGTCATACTTTTATGGTTACTGCCGGTCTCAAGTGCGGATGAAGGAGGAGAGTTGGGCATGAGGTCAACAACCCCATCCAGTAGAAAACAATATTGTCAGAAATCACTTAAACCATTCATAGTGTATCTTGGGATTTGAAGAGTCTTCATTTAGAAGGATTATGAGGCCTTATGGTTAAAACCGAGATTCGTTGGAAGTTATGAGGCCGATGCCCTTTCTAACTAGAGCAACGATTAATATGGGTACATGTGATGTCCGCACAATGTAAGAAACTGAGAGGATCGGTTTGAAGGCTGGGGAAATGAGGAGACACGAAACTGTGGTGCTCGGAATAAGTGAAACCCATTGGATACAGGCTGGACAAAAAAACACTAGGTTCGGGTAACATGTTGTTGTACTCTGGTCATTAAGAAAGTGCTTCGCACACATAGGGAGTTGCACTAACGCTGTCCAAAGGAGCACAAAAGGCACTTATAGGATGGGAATCTCATGGACTCAGGATAATCAAAGCATCCTTCAAAACAAAGGAGGGGATCACAATGAATGTTTTCCAGTGCTGAGCACCCACCGACGGAAGCAACGAAAACAATAAAGATCAGTTTTATGAGAGACTGCAGTAGACAATAGCGAAGTGCTCGGAAAGGACCTGATTATCTTGATGGACGGCCTAAATGCCAAAGTTGGAATGGGCAACACCGAGTATGAAGACATCATGGAACGGCATGGACTGGGAGCAAGGAATGAAAATGGGTGGAGTATGATTATTCGGAATTCGCAGATGAGCTGGTTCTCCTATCCCATACACATCAACAAATACAGGTGAAGAAACCCAGTGTACCAACAGCCTTTCCAACGAAAGGCCTCCACATACACAAGGAGAAAGCCAAGATCTTGAAACAACAGTGAGCAACAACCGGTTCGCATTTGATGGAGAGGCTCCGAAAAAGGTGTAAACTTTTATGGGCATCGGCACTATCACTAATAAACAAGGAGGATCTAATGTATATGTAAAGACAAGGATTTGCCAAGTAGGGGTACTATTCCTACAACTAGAGGATATATGGGAGTGAAGACAACTGTCAGCTGACCCCAAAGTCAGAATCTTCAATGCAAAGGCCAAGATAGTTCTATTGTACGGAGATGAAACTTGGAGAATCCCTACAACAATCATCAGAAAAGTACAGGTATTTATAAGCAGTTGTCTACACAAGATATTCAATATCCGTTGGTCGGATACCATCAGCTTCCAACTGAATACGAAATCTGGAAAAGGTGCTGGAAGTTGGTAGGACATTCAGGAAGTCACCAAACTGCATCATGAGGAAAGCCCTAACATGGAATCGTGAAGGCAAAGGGAAAAGAGGCAGACCGAAGAACACACTGCGTCGGGGAATCGAGTCAGATATGAAAAGGACGAACAGCGCTTGGAAACAACTGGAAAGATGTTGGGATAGTTGATTGGAGAATCCTGGTTGGCGGTCTATGCTCCAAGGGGGTGTGTAGGTAGCCCGATCGCTAGTCCACATGAATTGACATAATCTACATAATATGTCTTCACTTGGCCATTTTTCTTTTGGATATTCATGGATGGTTCGTGATACTACGCCCGATCACCAAAACGAAGGTAGGTGTAATGGGATTCGAATGTGTGAATTAGTGGTTGAGAAGGCCGAACACCTTAACCACTTCTAAGTAGCTTCATTACAGTAATAAATATTGAATATATGTAGTTAAATACAAAAAAGCGTTGGTTCCATAGAAAAGCCTTACCTGTGTCAATTGCTGGCATCGACCACATGATGGGACTGAATTCGAACTTTTACCATCTAATAATTGTCTTCTATCAATATCACTATCTTCACTATGAATTAACGGTTTAAGCTCACTATTAGTTAACCTGACTCGTTCTAGCTCCAATAGAAAATAAGCGAATGGATTGAGAACAATCAGTTGGATTGGCGCAAATAAATAAACATAACTAGCCAAATCAGGGAAAAGAGCATAGACTAAAAGTTAAGAAAAAAAAGAGAGAAACAAAAAGGTGGTTATTTAATGAAAATATGACAGTAGAATGTAACCGACCAGTAATGTAAATTGTTGATTCAGAACAGATTTGTATCAACACCTAGAAAGGCCGAAGGGAGTGCTAGTAAAGTAGTTAAGTGCATTTTTCACTTCATTTGTCCTCGAAGTTTCATCGCCTTTAATGAGCTGGTGGGTAGCAAAATCCTGGCACCAACACATAACACTCGCTTAGATTTTACCAAATTGTGTCACCTGTTGAGTAAAGAAGACATCTGTCTGTTTGTCAAACAGTGGATATATTGGACATTATTCCCCTGTATTACTTAAGGCTGTGATATAGGACGTTTCCAGAGTAGAGGATATCCATAGCTACTCTTATTTCATCGTAAAAATATTCAAATCATTGATGGTATATAGCAGAATAGTTAGGTAAGTAATACTGCAGAGATTAAACGTTGGGTCATAGGTAAATATTGCAAGTATGTTGAGGCTACGAAGTTATCCATTGACTGAGACTTGAGACATAAGTCACAGGTGCCCAACCACTAGTTACCACAATGTTCAGGGTTGGGTGGAGTAGAAATAAGTTGAAATAAAATTAGGGGACATCAAACCAAGGTGTAGTATCAGTCCGCTGAGTCACTCACTGCTGATATGAACCATGTTTTAAGGTGCAGATTATCCAGTCGAGGTTTACATGATAATCATCAGCGATGGCTGAAGACTATAAGTAACCTGTCTCAAAATCGGCCTCAGTCAGTCACAACGTAGAACCTGTACTTATGTACATTAGTTCAAGTTGCTTTACGCCATTAGCACAGAGAGATGAATTAGTCAGGCCAAATCTCAGAATAGTAGAGGTAGTAACAGTATCGGAGGTAATATGAAAGATTAGGTATGGAAGATACGACTGGAAAAGAAAATACAAACTAGTGAAATAAAAACAAGAAAAAGTTAAGAGGAATTTAAAATTTTAGGACTTGTAGAGACGAAGAGTGGATGCGCCTGTGCTATTGCAAACGATTTTCGGCCATTTCATTCAAAGTCACTAACCGTTGGTTACGATAATCACGAGGATCCCAACCAGGTGGTTTGTACCTATTAACATGGCTAAGTTCATTGCCAGTGACTTCATGGACTGATGCCATGTTTTGATTTGGCCACCACCAACCTTTTTCCAGTCTGCTCCTGCACCAGAAAACATCGCTCATTGAGGTAGGTAGTGGTTGAGTATAAGAAATAGATGTCCAAATCACCTCAGTTAATAAAGATTTACTACCTCATCAATCGATTTGCCATCTTTGCCTAGTATTCTATTCCTAACCCAGGTATTGCTGACTCCGTGTTTTCAAAATACACGAGTAGTGTTTCGTAGACACCTATGGTCGAATACCAGTAAGCCACAAATATCCTTTACTCTTCATAGCCATGACTCACGTCCACAATTTAGAAAAGAGAGAACTGCTGCACAGGAAGCTTTCCCATTGGCTGGAAGACGAATGACTGAACTTTGAATGAAGTTCGTAAGCAAATAAGCGAGTAACTGTCATAGTGAATTAAGGTTGTATCTTTATTTTGCCCGACTATTATCCACCTTGTGTAGAGATATGACTGACTGATATGAACGCAATGTTCACATATTCGAACTCCGTTGCTCCTACCTTGGCGCAGCAGTCCGGTTCGCCTACTGTAATGGCATAACATAAGTATGTTGGTTGGGACATGTTTATTAAGGCTCAGCCATACCACATAGGTTGCGTGGAAAGAAAAAAGACCAAAAACATCAAGTATTAAACCTGAAGATGGAGTCTTAACTTTGACTGTAATGTCATTTGAGAGCATTAAGGTATTTTACGCGGATAACCAGCGTCCTCATACATACGAAAGGATAAGTTGAAAAAGTATTATCAAACTAACAAAAAAGAACATTCGCCTTCTTGCGCTATTGGTTTCTGGTTCTGATGATGTTTAAAAAGTGGGGAGCTAATATAGAGAATAGAAAAAGGTAACATGTGAACGACTTCTAATAGTTGACTTTTGGGTTTGGATTCCCATTTACAGGTCGTCAATACCATACAAATACATTATCGAATCCTCCAAAAAGAGATGTACTATCAGGGTGTGAACAAACAGGAAGCATTAAATGCTCGAATATGCACACAAACCAGAACTTACACAATAGGCGTAACTTATAACCTAATACGAATATAAATACGTTTGCTTATTAAAATGACTAATTTTTTTAAACTTAAAGCACTCGTTTTAGGTACACTTGAAGTCTATTTTAAAATCAACAAACGAGTATATAACAACGAAAGTTATCGTCACTTAAATATCCAAAAGCAAGTTAATTTTATTAATTAATGGAATATATTATATTATAAACAACTCACGTATAGGATAAGCTAATGCTACATCATTGGTCTGAGATACAAACATAGCAACAATAGCAGCTATGCCCAGATGAAAACGTCGACTAATTAAGTATGTGAACGTAATTGCCATTATAAAACCAATCAATTTACTGATAGATATAGCCATAACGAAAGACCAACAGACACCAGAAAAATTAATTGTTACCATGGCCTAGAATAAATGAATAAAGTTTTCAGTCAGACAAAGGAAAGATAATAGTGACTGTACACCAATTACTGACTTATCAGGGAAAAATGGAAAAACAAAACAATTAACCGATCAATTACAGTTTTAGTTGTTCATAAGTTAAAACATGATTAGTAGAGCAGAACAATATGGTATATATCACAAGATGTGTGTAATCAAGTGTTTGCGGAGTGAGTAATTTATGTTCCCGATTTAGTTTAGTGAGATTTGTATGAGCGCTTTTAAACTGTTTGGATGTCCAAGCCAAAGTAAATGATTTTCTTTATTCCTTAGGTCTTCAACTCAGGGGTCTAACTCGCAAAGTAGAAAGAGTAAGTCGAAGGATCAATACCTATGGTTGTTAGTTATTCAAGTGGGTTTAGAAATTATTTGTTCCGTGTCTGAGAGCCTACACGACTCATAAGTAAGAAATCAGAGTTTGCAACCCCTACCACAAAGACCCGTATTATCTCCCATCCCGTTTTAATTGTCAGGCGTCTGTTTTCGATATTTTGCTATTATAGGCCCTTTCTTACTGCGTGTGCACCTATTGTTGGTCACCGGTTATCATGGGACTGCATCTCTTGGAGTTGCTCCACTGCCTTGTGGATTAGACCTTCAGGTTGAAAGCCCCGGATGTGGCCCTCTAAGAAGACCACCTGCTTCGGTTGGGGCACCTGGGCAGTATCCCATCCCTCATAAAAATCGAATGATTTATGTGGCGCATATCTGTTTGGTGCCTCATTGTATCAGTGTTTATGTGTTCGAATAAATACATAATATGTTTTTAAAACCTTATTTGCGAGTTTTAGTCTTTCTCTCATTGCTACTGCATTACTTCGATCCTGTTTTATGTTTTTCTCGTCGCACTAATCTATTATGGCAACTTAGACATACGCACATCCGTTCTAGGCCCCATGTTTATAATATCTGTTACGGATAAAAATAGAAAACGTTTGTTCTCTGTTTCGATATGTCTTCATACGAATAAGAATCCATATTCCTTAGGACCCTGGAGCCCATGTGCACCATTGGTTTGAAATCAGGGTTTTCTAACTCCTCTAGGTGGATCCTCCGTATCCGGCAACCCGGCTAAAGCGCAGGACATTCGCTTTTCGTTCTCTCAATCCCGTAAACAACGTCCCTGTTACGAGAAAGCAAAGTTGTAACGTAAGTACGAAGGGATATTGAAATTCAAGATCAAAGAGATAGAAACAAAATGCATCTTGGCCATTGCAAACGACTCTAAGCTACTGAGACCAAGGTTTAAAGCCACCGGTGACAATTATTACGCGGATCTCAACTGGGTAATATGTATCTATCTACATGGATCAGACAAACAGTCAACAACTTCATGGGTTGATACCACATTTCGATTTGATAACTCCTAGCTCTTTTACAACCTACTTCTGCACTAGCAAGCATCAATCGTCGAGGTAGGCAGCGGTTAGGCAAATGTAGCTTAAGTCCTAACCACCTCATTCAATGAAGATTTAAAACTGTCGACCGATATCACGTTTTCTAAGTAGCATATGCCTAGCCCTATATTGCACACCCATTGGTATCACAAAACACGAGGAATGATTCGAAGACACCTATTAAAAAAAGCTTTGAGCCTACGCCTATCTTCTAAAGTGAAAATTAATAAAAAGGATAAAAAATAATGACAGAGACAGGGTGTTCTGTAAGATAAATTGCAGCCACATGTCCTAAATCATGTTTTTCTCGCTTCGCCGGTTTTTACCCTCAAGTATTTTCTACGTTACTTTCACAACTCTTCTGAATATACATTCAACTGGTCTTTCAAAAGTGATCATTGTTTCCCTTTCTAAAAATAGATTTCAACCGTGTAATAATTTTAGATAAAACTCTATTATACTAAACTACAGCAGAGCGTAAATAAAACCGTACGGCTTGACAACTATATTTATAAAACGAGATATTTTTCACTCGAAATCTATCCCTTTATGATTAAAGAAGAAATCCGTTCCGGTTAAGTGAATACAAAAATTCATTAGCAGTGAAATAATTTCAAGATGTTCTGATATGTTTTATTAAATTTATGTGAGTTATTACGAATCATCCGTATATAGAAACCATACATTAAAAGTACACCTAGAAATATCAGAATAATGGTGACCTTGAATATTTTGCTTCCAAGTATAATGCTAGTTATGATGTTAGTTACGTTTGTGTATGTACTGAGGGAATGATTACGTCAGTGAACTGGTGTTTAAGTTTGTGAGCTTATAGTTTATAATTACTCATTTACGTTGATCAGCTGGTTAGAGTTAGCTGGGACTAGAGTACATAAAGATGCAAACAATTTCTATCCAGTAAGACAAATATTGTAGTTGGATGAAATGACTACAATATATAGGACTGTTACTATGACAAAAAAGGGACACACCCCATTGAATTTCTAGGTTGACTAGCCTTTTCTGAGACGTATGTACCAGTATGGAAAGATGTGCAAAGTAATACCTCTATATTCATCTAATCTGAAATAGTTTTCTGTTGATCATGTTGGTCATACTATATTCTCAATTTTAATTGTTGCAATTTACTAATGTTATTAGGAGAAGAACAAATATTTTACTTCTTACAACACTAATTTTATAAATTACGATTAAGTCGTGACAGTTGTGTAGAATAATAAAGTATACCTTTAGAAAATGAGGTATTTTGTGAAATATGAGGAAGTGAATGCACAAATATTTAATTTTTAAATACTCTATTAGATGAGCATTAGGATGCACAAGTCAGTGAGTGGTGCGTCAACCAATAGAAAAGCCCTAGTGGCATTAAAAAATAAAAACTGGTAATTCATGAAGACTTACGCGAAAAAATACAGCGGGTAAAGCGAATCTAGTGACATAGAGGTTAAGTCCCTTAGCTTGGGATTCAGAAAGAATTTTCAGGCGGCCAGCGATATAACCCAAGAGAATTACGCCAAAACACTGAGTTAGCACTGGAACCAACTCACTGAATACTTCATGATAGTTAACAGTCGAATTAGTAGGAGTAGGCAGAGATGATCTTATCAACGTAGGTTTGTTGTCCATGTCTCCAGAAAGTGAACTGAAATAAAAATTTTAAAAAATAAGTGGTCTGCTTGTTGGCTATCTTCATTTAAATGTCGTTTTAAAACTAAGCGAGACTATGATTTATGGTAGAAGCAATCTATTTATTAATATTGTCTAAATATCATTTCGGCATAACAGGTGAAGTCAAATGGTGACGAAAACCTCAAATCTAATTCCCGACCCTGATGTTCGGCTGTAAGTCCTAATACAAATGCATAACACTAATCGACAACTATCTTTAAACTATAATAAGTAGGTAATCATTCTTACGGTCACCTTAATGTCCATCAAAGGTTGTCCATAAATTATAGATGCACCTAGAAATATCAAGTAATTTTGACAAACCTTAGTGGTCAATATTATTAGATATCTATGAAATCTACCGGCAATCAACATCACTAACATGTTATATAAAATGGGCTATTTCTAACGATGAGCTCAAATAAACATGTTCAGCTGGTAACGAAAGATTTGCTCGTTTAACCTTTTATAATAGACGTCGAATGCGTATTTAACATGAAAGGAGAAGATAAATAAGTTAGAAATGATGTTCAGTACCAACAACACTTACTTATGTTACACGAAAACCATTCTCTTTTAGTTTTTGCAGAACACAACCTTTAAACGAAGAAAATCTGACGTCAATTTCACCTTCTTCTAGCTCATCAAAGCCATAAAGTGAGTTGTAGCAGCTTTTGCTCATACAAAGACGAACACATTTAGTATGTTCGAGTGAAGAGGTACTGTGTTCTAATGGGCAAGAACCACTACAGTTTGACAAAACTTTCTGGAACAACTGTTCGTTTGTGGCTTTGCGTTTATATTGATACACAGGAAATTTGAAGAACGACCTCGCGGAAGACCCACAAACAAGCAAAACCAAATATATACTGAGGAGTATTGACATGCGCGGAAAGACGCGAAATTCACCTACACAACTTTTATTTGAGTGATTAAAACACAAGATAACTGACAGTTTTTTGAATTAACGACTCTAGAAAAACGGACCGAGCTTTATAAATATAATGCTCTTAAAGTAGAGCATTCATGAAAATTTCATTCAATTAGTGTCTATATTTTTGTGACTTATCAATTTTATCAGAAGGGGTTTTGTGGAGATTGTAGTAATTTCAGTGATTAAGATCATGAGTCAGCTGAAGCTAGACCACCATGGAAAACCTGGGAGCACTGGACGACCGTCCAGTGATCTTAATCATTGAAACTTATCAATTTATTTAATATTTTTGTGCCGGGAATGTGGAGTCCGCAAATACGACTTATGTGGAGGATAATGGATATCAATCTAAGGTGACTTTGGGATTAGTTTTTAAAGGATCTCCGTTCCATTACTTTATGAGCAAATAGTTTACAAATCATTATAATTGTAACTGATGTATAGCTCATTCATTTGAGTGCTTTTTTAGTTCCACACTGGCTGTCACAAAGTTTCTATCAAGAAATCGAAATTCCATAGTACTGAAGGAAAAAACAAGGGTACTAGTCAATATGTTGAAATCAGAGTTGAGAATACTCTAATTCAGTGCAAAAAGGCATCACGACAACTAAACATCCAAGTTTTTCAATAGTATAAGTAATTGTTGACGATTGGCAACAACTGCCTGATATGAATACTTCAGTCTAGTACAGCCGTACACATTATATCAAAGTAAATATATAATGAAAGTTAGATTTGGAAACGATAACTCTAGTGAACATTTCAACCTCATCTACAACGATGACCTGATGAATGTACGGGGGAATGAGAGAGAATGTTGGTTACTTCACACTCATTGATAAATCGAACTTTCATAAATTCTTGCACAGAATCTTTATTCATGCACACTTACCAGATACTTGTTGGAACCACGATTTCAGAGACATTTGGGAATACGGAAGGGGATTTGATTAAACAGATGATGGGGGTAGTTTTTGCAGCGGCAATGAACCACCTTTGAAGTTTGACCAAGAAGTTGAGCCCTGTGCATATTAGATGAGACTATACGATATTGAAAAGTTGTCAAACATCGTGGACATTATTAACGACCGATGGAACTACTGTATGCGGCGAATGACTTCTGTGAAATTTGTTTCTCGATTCAGTATTCACCGAATTAAAGCACTTGCTTGATACAGCGCCATAGTAGTAAAGCCTGCTACCACGGTAGGGTCATCCTGGCCAGATCTTGATCCCTCAGTATGATTTAAATTAAATCAAGTTGTCAAATCTAAAGATCGCACACGTATTCGGAGTTTGACAAAATTTATACGCGTAAAATATTCGTGATCGAAGTACAAACTCAGTTAAATCAGAGATCAGAAATGAAGTTTCCAAGATATTTTTGGAATGCTATCGATGTGTCGAGATGCGTTCGATCTAAACTGACTAGCAGTTGCAAGGAATAAGTAGCACGGAGTACTTACTCTTGATCTGGTATAGATGCTTGACGGGGCATTATCAGCCAGGGCATGTCTAGTGAAACTAATGAGGTCAGCATCAATGTTGAAGACTTGTAGAACTACTTATTTCGGGGATTTATTTACATCCAGGAATCACTCCCTTCAGCTCGAGAGGATCTCTGTCCGAATTCACATCGAATAAAGAGTCGATGCCATGTCAAATTATTAAGATTATTGATAAGTAACTAACAAATTACCTAGCACAGTGCTCAGCCCTCTCTTAATGCAATCCGTTGAGTTTGTCTTGATGTGGTCCTTAATTTGCATAAGATCTAAATCTCCCTGGATCATAGTACCTGATTCAATTTCGCAATGTTTTAAGAAAGGTGAATCCAGAAGTGTTGTCATTCTTAGATTTAGACAAAACCGTCTTTCAGTAGGAGTATTCAACAAACTACTTTATAATCCCAAGTTCTTGGTTTCAGTTTGGAAAGAACAGAACTTAAGTCGCCCAGTGTTACTTTCTAGGGACAGTGGTCTTCCGGTTAACACAACATTATTTTGGACGCATTGATAGATAGAGCTGCAATCACGTATTGAAGCAAAAAATTAAATACTCTGGTAATTCCATGGGAAATTCGAAAGCGTAATGCATTTGAAAGGGTATTTATTCAAAGTGTAAGGTTGTGTATAACAAATATTAGTAGTCTGATGCAGATATCGGAACTAATAGTTCAGACGGTTCAAATGGTTCTGGATGGAATAGAAGAAGCTTTCGCTTAACAGGCTTCCGTGTCTAGTATCAGGGGATCACCAATACTTCCAGGCAAGCACTTAGGTATATTGACGATAAAATAGAAAAAAAAGAAATTGGTAAATCATAGCAAGATACTATCCTTAGTCCTTAAGAATAGATCAAGTCGCCTCTTAGAGGACTCCTGGGAAGTTGCTTGGACTAGGTCAGCTGGCAGCGAATTCCAGCATTTGACATCTCTTAAGGAGTAGAAGTTGTGCCTGCAGTCCGTTCTACTATGTTGTATCTTTAATTTCTGGATGTTACCCCTTAGGTTAGTGTTGGGACTAAGCTTAATTAGGTGTGTGAGAGGATGTTCAGAAGTGTTAAGGATACTGTAAGCCATTAGAAGGTCACCATTAAGACGTCTATACTTTAATGTGTAAAGGTCAAGTGATTGGAGGCGCTCTTCGTAAGGTTTAAGTTTGAGTCCCCGAACTGATTTCGTGGCTCGCCGTTGGATACGCTCCAGAGTGTCCTTATCCTTTTATAGTGTAGGAGGCAATACTATGTTTCCGTACTCTAAATGGAGACGAATAAAACCATTGAAGATTATGTGGAAAGTTCTCCCGTCAAACTAACCGAAAATCCGCTTCAATGTTACCAGTGCAAGGTTTACTCGAAAGGCATTTCTGTCTCAGCTGGCGTAAGACTTTAAGTCGTAGGGCACCAGAACTCCTAAATCTTTTTCGACTCGGGATACTACTAGAGAGGAGTTTCCTAAGTTGTAACTGTAATCTGCGACGTGTCGCAGATGGACTACTTTACACTTTGAAGTCGAGTCAGATCCTCCTGAAGTGCCTGTATGTCCTCTTGGTTGCGTATCTCTCTCCAAAGTTTCACGTTATCGGCAAAAATTATTAAGTCTGATGTTACCTGTTGATGAAGATCATTTATGTGAATCAGCAAGAGAAGAGGTCCTAGTACTGAGCCCTGGGGGACTCCACTAGGACGTTCCATAACCTGTGATAATTTGAAGTTTACCCTGACTTTAAAATGTCGATTTGTCAGATACGAACTGAGCCAGCCAATTAAAGGTGGTTTGATACCCAATTGTCTGAGCTTATTGATTAGACATATGTGATTAACCCTGTCAAAAGCTGTAGAGGAATCTAGGTACATAATATATACCTTCCCCTTGCGATCAACGATGCTTTTCCATCTGTCCACCTCAGTCAGCAGGTTCGTCATACAGGAGTAACCCTTCTTGAAACCATGCTGCTGGTGTGAGGAGAAATTTAAGAACAGCAGATAGTTGTGTATATCATCGTATATCAGGGACTCCATGATCTTTGAATGTATAGAGTGAAGAGCCTCAGGTCGGTAACTTAAAGATTCGCTGCATCGACCTACTTTTAATATTGTTGTGATATGAGCCAGCTTCCAAATATCCGGTAGTTTGCCTCGACTTAGCGAGTGTGAGAACATACCGCTAAGCGGTGTTGCCAGGATTGAAGCTGCTTCTCTCAGTATAGCAGAGTAGACCATATCTGGACCAGGATAAGTGTCTGTTCTTAAGTGTTGTAGTTTACGGAGCACCAAGTCAGCGCTCAGTTTCACTACGGAAACTCCTGTGCAGTTGCAGATTAAGCAGTCATCAGTATAGCTGATGTGGGTCGGCTGAAATGTCCGGGAGTATTGCTCAGCCAGAAGGTTAGCGGCGTCACCGTCATTATCGGTCGGGCGTATAGGACCTAGCAGTTGAGAAACTCCAGTTTCGGCTTGACGAAGAGAGCTTGCGTCACGAAGTAAGCTTTTCGGATCGGAGACAAATTTATTCATATTCTTTATCTAGTACTAAAGCCTGTCTTTCCTTATGGCCTTCGTCCATATGTTCCTTATATGTTTGTATTGACTGTGTGCGCCGCTGTTGCCAGTTCGTTTGTATTCTGCCCAACAGTGCCTTTTGCGGCTTAACAAACGAAGAGTGTGGTTTTTGATGATTGTAGGTTGCGTGTGCCTTTTGGGGACCGTTTGAGGAACTGACTGCTTTGTAGCACATAAGAGAGTGTGCAGTTATAAGTCCCAATGAGCATTCACATCAATTTAAGGGTGAACATCCCAATCCACCTGTTGTAGATAGTCCTGTAGAGCTGACACATTCAACCGTTCGAAGTTCCAGAGCCTGTTGTTGTTGGGATATCTTAGCTCAGTTTTGCTGACAAAACTGAAGGCTATAACGGCGTGATCGCTTTTCCCCAGGGGAGCCAGAATTGAGAGGTTGTCGACTAGAAATTCTTCATTTGTAAAAACACAGTCTAAGCGCGACGGTGTCTGACCGTTCCTCCAACGAGTAGCCAACTTCACATTTTCGTGTAGTCCCAAATCCTCAATGAGGTTGAAGAACCGAGCTTCAATTGAATTTTCACCTCCAATATACGTATGTTCCACGAAGTTGACTCTAGGAAGATTGAAGTCCCCAAGAATCAGGATGTGAGTGAAACCGAGACGCGTGCAGCGGGATAGTCCTTCCAGCATACGACTGTCATACTCGATGTCAGCAGTGGGCTCTCTGTATATGACTCCGACTAGGCACTTCGAAGTAGTAGACAATCTCACAGAGCGCCATATAGATTCCTCAAGATTGTCAAACTCGTGGTTGTGAACTTGGTGTACCTCCAAGCCAGATAGTATGTATAGGACTACTCCACCCCCAATTCCTGTTTTTCTGTTGTTGCGAAACAGAGACATCCCAGGTATTCCTATCTCCTGGTCCGAATACTGAGAAGATACTCAAGTTTCAGATTTTTCTATCAG